AATTTTGGGCTTTGTTTCAACATGTTACCAAATCACTCTCTAAACTTGGAGTGAAATCTCACTCAAAAAGAATGGAATCTCACTTCAAGAAATTTAGAGAGTTTACGATCAAAGTGGAGTTCGACGAGCAAAAAATGCTTATGCTTATAGTTTAAAACTAATTCGACTATGTTGAAACAAACTCTTGGTTTCTTAAATAGATTCCGAATAAGAGGTACCGTTTTTTTCATATAAATTCTCACGTTAATACTTCATTAGACAATGAAACGCTAAATAAAAAAATAAAAGACAAAATTGTAATATAAAGAATAACATTTTTTAAATAAAGAATAAAATTGAATTTTGGAAAAATGAATAAATCTCTAAAGGACAGCTACTTGAAATAAAGGACGAATGGTCACCATAGGTATCCTATGTGTATATAAGGTATTACGTATTTATAATAGAAAAAGCGTGGAAAGAATGTCTATATTTTTTATATAATAATATACTTATTATCGAGAAAAGAATCTGTCAATTATTTCGATTATAATAGCCCCTCGATCGAAGATTTGATTATCCGAATACTGTGCTAATTAATTGTTTACTCTCTAATCGCATTTGAATATATTATATTCGATTGTAATAAATGCGCACAATTTCCTGTGCCATTAATTATAATTGCCCAGCTCTATACCATAGGATTAATTATTCCTCGCGTTGCTACAATTATAAATACGACTCCACAATGTGGCAGCACATAATTTTATAAAGTGACGGTTCTCCTAAAGTGGATCTTCTCACCGTTCCCGGTGAGATTGATTATCGCTCTAACTGTATAGCGGATAGGTCTCGTAAACAGATAAATCTGCAATTAAATGCGAAATTAACCTGAATATGAAGCATGCGCGATTAGGCATCTCGCGGACGAAGTAACGTTACGGGATAACAGCGAAGAAGACCTCGCTAGATAAGCGACATCCGCTTGTGAAATCCAGAGAAAATCCAGAGAATGTGCACACAAGACGTTGTTTCATTTTAATCAGTTTCTCAAATATCTACGATCGATTTACAAATGAATAATTAACTTGAAAAAAAATGAAGAGATTGCTGTATCAATAATTAACCAAACGACATTCGCTAATCATATACATCTCTTATATGTATACACAAAATTGCTCCACGCGTATTTTAATCGAATTTCTCTAATAAACGCTAAGATGACGATGATCCATCCAAACGGTAGCGAAATTCTCGGTCCAGTTAAACGTCAAACAAATGCTAGATCTGAGACGTTGTTTCATTTTAATCAGTTTCTCAAATATCTACGATCGATTTACAAATGAATAATTAACTTGAAAAAAAAATGAAGAGATTGCTGTATCAATAATTAACCAAACGACATTCGCTAATCATATACATCTCTTATATGTATACACAAAATTGCTCCACGCGTATTTTAATCGAATTTCTCTAATAAACGTTAAGATGACGATGATCCATCCAAACGGTAGCAAAATTCTCGGTCCAGTTAAACGTCAAACAAATGCTAGATCTGAGACGTTGTTTCATTTTAATCAGTTTCTCAAATATCTACGATCGATTTACAAATGAATAATTAACTTGAAAAAAAAATGAAGAGATTGCTGTATCAATAATTAACCAAACGACATTCGTTAATCATATACATCTCTTATATGTATACACAAAATTGCTCCACGCGTATTTTAATCGAATTTCTCTAATAAACGCTAAGATGACGATGATCCATCCAAACGGTAGCGAAATTCTCGGTCCAGTTAAACGTCAAACAAACGCTAGATCTGATTGCAGGGAATATTACGGAGGAGCAAAATCCCTTATCGCGCATATACACAAAACGGTACGAATCCCGTTCTCTACCTCCGGTCTCACGCGTACTTAAGAACCCATGTACGAAGGATTAGAAGGTTTCGGTTCTGACACGTGTGTCCCTATTCTTTTTCAATTCCTTCCTCTCTTTCGGCATCCCTTTCCTTCACTCTTTCTTCTCCTTTTACCTTCCCGTCCATCCATCCCTTCTTTCTTTCTTCGCTTGACATTCGCGCGGAAAAAATGCAGCTAGATTCTCTGAAGTGCCGCTGTAAATATATATATACATATAGGAAAAGAGCGGATGTCTGGTGTGTAAGGAACCGCTAAAATGGTGTTCGCTCTTATCCGAAGATCTGGAGCGGCGATGCGAAGAGAGGCACGCGGAGGGCTACGTAAGGTAAAAGGGGGCTCATGACTGGTCGGTTGGTTGGTTGGTTGGTTGCTGCTGGTCGTCTGGTTGGGCTGGTTAGTGCCGTTACCAGAAAGAGGCCACCTAGGTTCGCAACAAGTGTGCTGAGTTATGCCTCGAACTTTCTTTATAATGAGACACCGGGCTATGAAATGACAAACGTAATTAAAGCGAGCAGCCACCGGAGGTCAGGGATCCCCGAGATTTTCACAATGGGAAACGCGCACTTAGAACCTCTCTCTCTCTCCCTCTCTCATCATCTCTCCTCTCTCAAACCTCTTCATTTACGCCACAGAGATTGCGTATTTCAGGATAATTTTTCGTCAAGAACAGCGTGAGTCTCCTGATAGTCGTAGAAAGTTTATGTCCTGACCGATTTAATGTCGCGCAAAGTGTTTCTAAAATTTATACGCGCAGTTTTGTACTCTACAATAATTTTTTATAAATATTATCTCAATTCTATATTCATCGCGTATAATTAAATTAAAATATATCTATATATAGACTCTCGTGGATCGATTTCAGGGTTAGTCGATATGCCAGTCTACATTATATATACAAAGTGTATCTATAAATAAGTGCGAAAAATTTTAGGAGATTCTTTGTCGAAAATTAATAGAAGTTTCTTATATAAACATAAACTCTTATATCTCTCCCTGAGGAGTTATATACTTTTCTAAAGAAGGAGGTAAAAATTAAATTATTTTTTAAAAATATTAATAAATATCCTTTACTTATATATAAGAAACCCCCTTAATTTTCGACACAGAATAATCTCCTAAAATTTTTTGCACTTATTTAGATCTCCATATATATAAATATACTATAATAAGGGAGATAGATATATCTAGCGCAAAATATACAAAGGATTCAAGAGGGAATCGAACTTGTATGGGACTTTTTCCCGAACAATCGCGAGTGGCAACCTTGCCCCGTTTTACGCCTCCCCGTGACACAACAATGGAAACGCAATGGTACACAACACATTTCACTTTTTCGCAACGCGAGTTCGTCCGGGGGGGCCCCCGAAAAGTATTGCGCGATTTCCTTACCGCGCAAGAATTCACCTCAAACACACAATGTAGATTGGAATTGGCCGTGTACCGTAAAAAGCCTAATTATCATTTTGCGAAACCGCGACGGCACCTATTCCTTCGCCGTCTATTCATTCGAGCAACGAGGGGCGGCTCGAAACGCATAAACATCGAGATAACACAAAAACGGCTTCTCTATTTACCTCCCACGTGAGATTCGATCGATATCGGAGCACTGATTATCGACAAATGTGCCCCGTTAAGGGGGACACATTTCGTAAATATATGATAACTTTGTATTATATTCACATTTCGCAAGTATAACTTTGTATTTTTTTTTGTACTCGATATCTATTTATTTTATTATATTATATATATAAAATGTGCATCAATATTTCGACTAACCGAAATTGATCCATGAAAGACTCTATATATTTTAATTTATTATATTATATATAATTTAATTTAATTATATGCAAATACCTCGAGATAATATTTATAACTATACAGAGAAAATTGTTTGTCATATTTTACCGCAAAATTTATTACAAATATCATTTTGATAATAAGTCAAAAATTATCATGCTGCATACGTTAAAATTATAATGAATAATTAAGCTTAAAAATATTTTGCTGCATTGCAAAATTATATAAAATATTTTATGTTTATTTTTTGGCATCTATTCTATTTAAAACATTTAAAGAAGTATAAGTTTTTAATATAGTTTTTAATATTTTTTAAATTATTGTGAAATTTTACTTATATTAATTTTATATATTGATATATAGTATAATTAATCAATATATAGTAAAATTAATTAATATATATATCATAAATTTAATAAATGTATTAAATTCAATAAATAATATATTATAACATATTTTATCGTGCTAGATTATTAATATTTTTTATTTTGGTAAATATATTAATCAGAGAAATTCTTATAAAATTCTTCCAATACTATATTGTCCCACGATTACCATGCATTTCAGAATAAATTCTAAGAGAAAATTCTCTCTGTGCATTTATAGTATAATAGAGTAAAAGTTGCGCATACTAATTTTAGAAATACTTTATTAAAATGAAAAAAAATCTCGATATAGTCGCTTAAAACATATCTTATTGTTAATACCTTATAGAAATTTATCACTAGTAACGCTAATTAATCACTTATTTCGAATACTTACAATACTAATATACAGTAATTTAAGTACTCGAAATAAGTGATAAATTAGCGTTACTATTGTCCAACGATCGCATTCCGCAATGGCTGAACGACCAGCAGAGATAAGATACTCGAATATCGGAAGTCGTGTCTGTATATGCGGGAAGAAATACGCGAAATGCCGAAGTTTATTTATTATCGCCTGCATGCAGCGAATAACGTCGCAAGCAAATATTTTTCCGCACTCTCGGGCGCGATCCTTGCGTGGATCCGCGACTCCTTGAGAGGAAGCGTTTCACATTCCTGCGTCGCGATCTCCGCGGATCGATAGATAGATATATATACCTCCCTCTCATCTCCTTCTGGTGATCGGCGTAAAACTGCTCCCGAGTTCGGCGAGGGTCAGGGGTCACGATAAAGATCTCGCGTGAATGATTGCCGATGATATTTCACTTACTCAGGGATCGTCAAAATCCTTTGTGCGAGCGGAGGAATCCGCGATGCGAAATGCCGCGTCTCCTTTCTTCGAATTGACATGAATGCATATCGAAGACGTACCTTTCACGATGATGATGATGTTTGTATGATGTAGCCTCACTCCAACTCGAACGATAATCTCGAACAGTCCAAACACGCACAACATTATTCCAAGTTAATTGCTTATTTTGGTGGTGATGTAATCTAGAAAAAAGAAATATATATATGTAGAACAAAATATATAATACATGTCTGTGTGTGTGAATAAATTAATATGTATATAAAATGTTTATGTATATATTTTATATATATATCTATATATATATATATATATATATATGTAGAACAAAATATATAATAATGTGTGTGTGAATAAATTAATATGTATATAAAATGTTTATGTATATATATATATATTTTATATATATATATATATATATATATATATATATATTTTATATATATCTCTATATATATATATATATATATATATATATAATGTATGTTTATGTATATTTGTGAATAAATTACCAATTATTTGTAAAAGCAATCGTCTAATTAAGTAAACGCACAAACTGCGTGCGAATATTATCTTTCTCGGCGCGAAATATGCAAGTATATTAGGTTATAAAAATTGATTTCTTTAACACAATGGTTTATATACAAATCATTTAACTTCTCAGATCTCATTCTATATCGACTATTACGGTTGTCATATGTTCAGTTAAATATATAATACAAATGATAAAAACCTCAGTAAATCGTTGAGCGAAACTGTGCGTAAAGTTGTAGTCGTTCGGCCGCAAGTTCGACTTTTAAATATAACGATACCTATTCTAGGCGCCTATACGCACGTTTCAGTGGCGCCACCTATCGTAAATTAAGCAGATTAATGAGCGAGCGCGCGCCATTGCTAATTTGAAAGAAAGAAAATAATTCGAGCGATATAAGATGACAATTTCTAAATTATCTTTCTATTATTAATCAGCTGGTTAATTTTCTCGCTTAAAAACCTCAAGAGAGCAACGAAGCTGCTTATTTCGACTACCACAATTTAATTAATAAATGCTCAATCCAATAAACGATACATGTCGGCTATAAACTTACCCCGGGTGTCGCCATAACCACTAACTTTGTTTTTTCCATTTATTCCTGTCAAAGACACTCGATCGGCACATATTTTATGCGCGATAACAATAACGATAATAATGATAATATCGAGGCGTTAGAACATCACCGGCACGATGAGCTGTCTCCCGTAAAGAGCTGTCATTTTTTGACAGCGAGCAGCGAGTCGAGTGAAGCGCGCGTTCGTCCAACCTGACTGACGTATGCTACAGATCGAAGTTAATCGATCATATCTCGATTTCGCGCGGCGTTCTCGAATCGATTCAAAATTTATATCGCCCTCAAAAAACCACAAATTAGTGTATTTACATGATAAAATAATTTGTACATATTCAAATAATTATATGTACACTGAAAAAAATTTGTTAACTGACTAAACATTTCAACTAAATATTATTTCGTTAATTAAACATATAAAAATATTTAAATTAAATATAATATATTAAATTTAACAAAATGTACATTTTTGACTTACAATTAAATAGTAATATATGTTGAATTAACAAAATAGTAATTTAGTTGAAAGGTTTAGTCAAGTTAACAAGTTTTTTAGTGTATATACATATATATACACATATATAATACTTAAATATATTATTAAAACTAATTTATATAAACGTTGTGTGTGTGTATGTGTGTGTATGTATATTATATATGTAAAATATGAAACTATATTATACGAACATAATTATACAAAAATAATTATGATGCGTCGAGAACGATGTTTAAAATCGTAAATGACAAGGTGGTGAACGCGCAGTGATTACGTATTCGTTTCCCATCAACCCCGCCGATGACGTAATCTCGAGCGGAGACCGACTCTCGTACGCACGTCGCTCTTCCCGCGCGTATCCCAACAGCTCGGGTCATTAATAATTCCAGTCTCTCTCGATGCGCTCTTAGCATCCGTCCCCCTCGGGGAGGTAGCTCGGCGCGACACGCGGCCATTTCTAGAGGCACGTTAAAATCGCGGCTTCTGTGTGCGTAATGCGGTGGATGCTGCGCGCCTCTCCTCGGTTTGTCCGACTCTCTTGACTCGATTTCGCGACCGCAAAACTCCGCCGGGAAGATATATCTCTCCCCTGTGCGCGCCCTGCGAGCCTCTCTGTCTCCCTCTCGCTGATTCCGCTCCGCGTTCCTTCTCGCCCTCTTTCCTTACAGCCGATGCAGGACGGGACTTCTCCGTCTCTCTTCTCCCGCGCGCGAGGACGGTCCTCGCCGACCAAAGGTACAGGGGGAGAAAGGGAGGATGGCCAGACCCCGTCGCGGAGACAACATAAAGATTTAAGACTGGGAGATGCGCCAATAAACATGCTGCGCCCCTGCCGCAGTCAGCTCGCGCTTCTCTCCGTTGCGTTCGCCGCTGTTCCGTTTCTCATTCGGTTCCGCTCTCGAGTTCTGTTCGCAGTCACCAAGACACTCGCGTCTGCACACGTACGCAGGGTATGTTCCCTCGGCGATCTCGATGTTAGGTTCTAACGATATTCGAATTCGCAGCCTTTTCTTTCTAAAAAAATTGTCGCTTTAATATCTTACATTGGAAGCATATTTCGACAATTGAAAAAAATAGTTTGAAATTTGCATATATTTACCCTACAGTTTTCCTCAATCTCTTTGATGCCGACATAAAAAATGTATAAAATTGTTTGACTAAATTATATTATCTTTCTCTCCCTCTCGCTCTCTTTCTTTCGCGATTTATTTCATTTCAACGTATCCTTGCTATTCGAAAGAAGTGGTCCTAGGGATAACGAGACGCGAATACACCTGCCAGGCTGCTGGTTGGACTTTTGTACACGGTGGAAATAAAAGCTTTCAATGCGAAAGGACGGTCGTATACCGCGAAAGTAGTAGATCGGGACGTTGGTCGAGCAAAGCGACAAGGGACTTGAGAGCTGGACCAACTACCGATGCTGCCGAGTCTCTTCTCTCTGTCTCTATCTTTCCTTCTTTCTCTCCTTCTCACTCTTTTTTCGTTCCGCGCGCTCGCCTTCCCCCGACTTATTTATTCCTTTCTCCGTCGCTGTGGCTCCCTTTCTTTCTCGACTTCTTCTTTATTTCTGTCCTTTTGTCCGTTTTCTGCTTCCGCAAACGACAGCCGCTTATTTATACCCCGTCTTTGCATCGCGCCGGGGACCGAGCGAGGGTGCTTTTGCGTTTACTCGGCTACTGCAGAGTGTCGTCGTTGTGTTGTCGTTGCTGTTACCGTCTATTCTCCTTCGATTCCCGGCTCTTTCCTTCCTCTCAATTTTAGTTTTACAATGCATACGTAACTTGGATTATGTCACTCTCGCATCGCCTCATTAATCATCCTCTACCTATTCGACGTCTTCTAACAGCTTCATTATAATTAGCCATTTATTTCTTGCATTGTAAAATGATTATTTTTAATATTCAATACTTTATAAGTGTTTTTACCATACCTTCTAACGATGATACTTTTTATTTTCTTCAGTTAGCTATTTAATTTTTGTTTTAATGGGATTCCGTGTAATTATGTTCCTCGACTTGAAAAGACAGGGAGCCCTTATGCCAGGCAATAAAGGCGATTCCTCCTTCTCTCTCCTTTCCTCGTTCCTCTTTGTCTCGTGCACACCTTCGGTCGCGCGACACCATCTCCTTCTCATTTTCTTCCGACCGTATATGATAGCGATGAGGTGTATCACTTTGCTCGCGCGACACCGCCGTGATGCGGTCGCGTATTGCGAAGGGCAATTCCGCGCGAGACCGCATCACCTGTCAACGTAAAATCGCAGGTCTATATCGTGCCTTACTCGGCCGACTGGTGGGAATTCTGCCGCTGATTTGTCGTCCAGGAACAATGAACCCCGAGTGACGAGTCGCTTGAACTTATTTTAACTTACCACTTTACGCGTTTAAATAAAAGAATGAAAGAGAACGAGAAAGGAGATACATATTTAATAGTTAAATAAAAAAGAGTTGAGGTAAAACCTTGTGAACGACCTGAGAGGTGCGATTATTCCCAGAGTATAAATTTCATCCATTCGACTGCGAAAATCTTCCCTCTTTAAATATCTGAGCGATCTCTTCCGCGAATTAGATGAGGAGACTGATTGGGAGACCTGGTAGGAACATCATGTGTCCACGCTCGCGACAAAAGCGACCGTGCGAGGGAGAGCCGAACAAATAAATGCTGAAAAGAGGAACAAAACCGACATTATGTTGCATTAACATACAAAGTATGTCAGACCCGCAATCCGTAGGCATAACATAGTATCGCGGCATTCGCATATTCTACTTCTCGACGCATCGTCTGTGTGTGTGTATCTATCTGTATGTGTGGATGTGGAAAGAGAGAGAAAACGAATATATTACTCGCACGCATGTGCGTGTCCGAGAAAGAGAAAGATGAAAGAAAGGAAGAGGAATCGCCATTGAATGTGTGTAGAACAGAAGGAAGAGGGTGGAAAGTGTGCGTGTGTCGGCGAAGGGCTCGCGCGACAAGAACTAAAGAGGAAAAGGCAAGAAAAAGGGATTCTCTCAGTGGCGGATTTCTAGACGCATACACATGTCTAGATCCTCGCATTTAATCACGCAAAGCCGTTAATTATTTTACAATAATTACATCAATCTGCATGAGCGTCCACAGGATATTTTCCAGGGAGGGACATAATTACAATTTTTTTGTTCTTATTCTTTCTTAATTTTTTAAATTGAGCTTTTTTATTATTTTATTATTTTGATATTTTTATATTAAAAATATATAAATTCCAGTGTTTATTCACAAGGAGAGCAAATGCTTAATTTTTTTTTACTGGTAAAAGGGGGCAAATAATTCTATAAATCTGTTGGTTTTTCGCATTTGCAATCTAATATTCGTGAAATCCGCCACCAGAGAGAAGAAAGAAGGTACAGTGAATTTATGCTATTTACCAGTCCTCCAAAGATACGGTTCCATCGCTTCGTTGTCCTCGCAGTAAACGTGTGTGCCACGCGGTGCGGCTTAACGTAAAAGGATCCTTGGGAGCGGTGGAGAGTAGAGAACGTAGAACGGGCGGGAAAGGAAAAGATCCGAGAAGGTAGCAGCAGCACAAGGCGGTGATGGTAAAGGGAAAAAACGAAGCGCATATATCGAGGCCGGTCTACGACGACGGAGACGCCGGGAACACACACACACACACAAAAGGAAGGACTCTCCTCCGGTGTCACCGCTGTCCACCGGGCTCCCGATCGGCTACCGCTAGCAAGGGCTGCGAGCCGCTCGAAGGACGATCAAAACTATTATACATACAGTCTGCACACAGAATAAAATAAATTAGAAAGGATAAAACACATACAAAAGCATGATAGATTGAAAAACATTTCCTTGGAAATTAAATATTAATTTTTGGGAGATATTTTAAATAAAAGCTTGTTATGTGTGGAGAAAAAATTTTTGGATATTGAATGATCATTTTTAACTTTTTTAAGAAATTCAATTTTCTTTGAATAAAGTCAAGGTTCTTATATAATATATTCCTTCATTATATATATATATATAGATATATATATATATATATATATACACGATTTATTATTCTCAAATAATTTATTGATAATTTATGAACGAAACAATATATATTAAAAAAAGGCGCATTTTCTTTCTATAAAAATTTCTATAAAATTTTACAAAAATGTATAAGATCTAATTAATAAGAGATAAAGATATAAAACACATATGCAGTGCTCTATATAGACACTGAAAAAAATTGTTAACTTGTAACTAAACTCTTTCAACTAAATTAACTATTTTGTTAATTTATTAATTGAACTGAATATATTAGTATTTCAATCAAATACATGGGTTTTAGGTTTATGCTATATTTAATTAAAATATTTCTGTGTTTAATTAATAAACTATTATTTAGTTGAAAGGTTAATCAAATTAACAATTTACTTTCCGTTACTCTAAAAAATGTTTATAGTATATACACAATAAAATATTCAACATGCTAATAATCATAAAATTTAACAATATTAAGTTTTTTGTAAAAATCACATTCATATAAATTAAAATATGAAACTATATGTGTGGTTATATGTGTATAGTACCATATTAACATGTAATATGTATACTATATTAACCTGTGTACTATGAAAAATGAAAATAATCTTTAACAGTACTACAAACATTAAGTTTTAGAGTTTGACTTATTGATATACAGTAAGTACCTTTTCGATGATAAAATTCCACGACATTTAACATATAAATTAATATGAAACTATGTGTGGTTGTATGTATAGTGTACCATATTAACATGTAATATGGACACTATATTAACCTGTGTACTATGAAAAATGGAAATAATAATCTTTAGCAGTACTACAAACATTAAGTTTTAGAGTTTGACTTATTGATATACAGCAAGTACCCTTTCGATGATAAAATTCCACGGCATTTAACATGAATTTGATATCTTATCAACCAGCGCAAGTGAGCAGCACTGCCAAATATACCCTCTAATACCTCTTGAGGAAGTATTTCTATAGAGATACAGAGAGATAAAGCAATTGTTGTTGCTTAGTTATTAATAGTTTTAGTTTATTAAGATACTCACCACATGGATCACTGTGTGTCAACAACTGAATGTCATTTTCCTTAGTAAATTCTTGCAAGGCTGGTGGTACTACGCAACACGTGGCTAAATTAATTTGTACAATATTTGGCTTTATCTGTAATGAAGAAATATTAAGAATAAAGGTAAGAGAAAATGTTTATAATATTATAAATATTATAATATACAAATAAAGAAAAAATATTTTAAATAGCAAGTTATACTTACATCAGCCCACTGAAATAGTTCGATGAATGTGTTTGTGTTAATGTCACTCAAACCAACACTGGATAATTTACCAACTTTTACGTATTCTCCCACTACAGACCATATTCTTTTTAATGATGACAATATAATCTCTGGATCTTCAGCACTTTTGTAAGCTATCACTAAAGATTCTATGATATTTGTACCTAGTGCTTTAAATGCTACAATAAAATATAATAGATTAGAAATCTATCACACAAATATGTTATTACATTTTTGACTAACATACCTTGATCTAATGCCTCCTTCAATGAGTTAACATCGGGTGAAGAGATAAATACTTTTACAGTAATCTTCAAATCTTTTCTATCGACATCCTGCAAGCTTGTATCCTCCTTTCCATTAATCTACAATTATAATTAACAAAACTTGTCAAATATTTAGACACGTACATTTCCAATTAATAATTATTAATAAATTGTGTATACGTACAACTGTTGTTCCATCTCCTTTGCTTTGCTTATCATTCAGAATAATTTTTAACGTCTCGATCAGCTGAAAAAAGTCAACGAAGAATATCAAATTTTTTTTTTCGAGAACAATTTCGAAGAATGTAATACGAGATATAACCTCGATTCCTCAGCGTAAATCACCGAGGCGACGAGAGATATCATTAAGTTACACACGACGCTAGGAAGAGCACGCATAATATTACGCAACGCCTGTCAACTGACCTCGTCCGTGGAATTTTGACTCGCCTTCTGCCTCGCCTCGCTCAGGGAAAGTATATTCCCGGTGTTGACGAGTAAGTTATGCGATAGCATATTTTTCACGACCGATATGAATTTCACGCGGCAAGTCCGTCCCGTTTGACAGTTATCCGCACATTTATACACTTGCGGTGAAAAGTGATGTCATCGCTACCGTGACTTTTCAATTTATGACTAAAAAAATTAAAATCCTACGAGATTACGTCAAATTACATCACTCCTCGAGATCCTTGAACAAGTCGGAGCTGTCGGTTTTACGCACCTGTTGAGAATGTGTATATATATATATATGTATATAATTTTCTCCTATCACGGAAATAAAGGAAGTTTATACGCGCACACATTTGCCTTTGAACACATAATATATGAATTAAGCGCATGTCAGAGAGGATATATATGGAAAATATATGCTTCGATATGTGCGTAAATTCATGTGTTATATATATATGACGACGCGTTCCTATCTTCATACGAGAAAGAAGAACAATATGAGGAAAGAGTTTTTTTTATTTTACGTAAACATCTTTGTTATCGCAAAATAGCTTATCTCTCTTGGAGCATTTTAAAGTAATTAATTTTATAATGTTTAATATTTAAAACGTGATATTTTTCTACGCGTTAATTGTAAATTATAAAAAGAATCTTCGCCATAGGCGCTCAAACATTTCAAATTTTATGCTTGTTTAAATGGCGGTTCGACGATATTTAAATCGATATTTTTTTAATTAAACAATATTATTTATATGATAAAGTTTGTATTTGCTCTTTTTAATTGAAATTTTACGCGAAAAATTATTATTAAAGTGGACTTTGCAAAGCATATATTATATATATTTTATTTTTAAATATAAATTATAAATAGTTATTTTTTATTTAATGTTTAGCTTATATATCGTTGCATATGATATATATTTTTAAAATAATACGAGAAAAAGATATATATAATTATGCAACAAATATCTTATTTTATTAATAAAAGTTTAGCCAGAGACGCATCACAACTCCATGAATATAAGTTTCCAGAATTGAAGGAATCTGAAGTATAAAAGAAAATTTATTATTATTTGTATTATTTATTATTATTCGCGTTCTGGATGTTCATATTATTGATATATATATATATATATATATATATATATATATATATATATATTAATATATATATATATATAATTTCTAGAACAATATATAATATATAGAATAAGTCTGTGACAACATAAATATTTATGCTACTGTTTAGTTTATATAGATGCTTAGTTTATATAGATACATTTGTGTATATAGATGTTTTTTTCGATATTTATTTTATTTATTTACTCAATTTTTTTATTTATTCGATTTAATAGAAATATCGACACAACGATTGGTCGACAAACTATACATGGCAGCTCTAAAATTACTGTAAAAAATCGTGCATACATTATATATTACATAAGTCGTTATATTCATTATACATCCATATACAATGTATCATAAATTACGCCGTGTACATGAATATATGAATCTGGTTGCTTGTTACAGACCTATTCGTTAAAATAACAAGTTGTCAAAAGGACAAGATACGGACGAATAGGGAAAAGCTTCTCCCAGGAGTTTGCTACACCGATGTTCGCATTCTTTGCATCACAACAGTGACCGGAAGAAAATCTGATACCTCGCTTATCACTCGATACGAAGTGATAACGCACGGGCCATCGTACGATACAATTGTGATTCGAAAGGGTGAATTATTTTACAAAAATGCCCATTGACATCCCTGCATTTGCATACGCTGCTGCGGTGGCTGGCGGCGGAATATTAGGTTACGTGAAATCAAGTGAGTTCAATTGAATTGTCATTCAAGTTCTTTATCAGCCATATAAGTGTTTACGTTTATTCGACGTTCAATAGCCTTCAAGGTTCCCAAATATGATTATCATATTCCATGATTCTTTTATATTTTTATCTTTTTATACCTTATTAATTTTTTCTAAATATTTATATATGTATATATTTAATATTTTTCTTATGCACTCAAAGTTTCAAAATGATAATATGATTCTGATTTTTTCTTGAAAGGTTCTATTCCATCGTTGGCAGCTGGTCTCTTATTCGGATCTGTTTTGGGCTACGGAGCTTATCAGACTTCTCAAGACCCGACCAACGTAGCAGTTTTTCTAGGAACAAGTACAGCTCTTGGAGGCTTAATGGGATATCGATTTTACAATAGTGGGAAAATAATGCCAGCTGGAGTAATTGCTATATTGAGGTATTCTAATGCAGTTTACATAATGATTTGTGTGTTATATATGCAAATGTGTTAATGTTGGAATCATTTTCAGTGCTGTGATGATTGTAAGGACAGTTACAAGATATTTCTCACCACCGCTGAAAACTCAGTGAATATTAACTTTGCAATTATTGCATTTATATTAATCTAATTTACTATTTGGTAAAAGGGTATAAGGAAGTACCTTGATAGATTTTTAAGGATTGATGAGTAAATGTAATTATAAATAATATGGTTGAATTAATTTTGAGTTTCTGTATATAATGCCAAGAGATTTTGTAAAAATCAAGTATGTATATCAATTAGTAGCTTCTCAATTAAATGTATCAAATTAAATTTCTTAAGTTTCTATTAAAATAAATCTGATTTAAATTTAATTAAAATATATTTCATTATCTCTATTATATCTAAACTATGGAATTCAGTGTAAAAATATACAATTTATTGTAGAAAAATATTTATCATAAATTATTAAATTGTATATCTTGTACTTGACAGTTGTGTGGAACGACTTTGTGGATTTATAAGAATTGATGAGCAAATATAATTATATAAATAATATGGTTAAATTAATTCTGAGTTTCTGTATATAACTAGTAATTTTTCAATTAAGTGTATAAAATAAAATTTCTTAAATTTCTATTGAAATCAATCATTTTAAATTGAATTAAAATATATTTCATTATTTCTGTTATATGTAAACTATGTAATTCAGTATAAAATATACAATTTTTTGTAGAAAATAAATATTAATCATAAATCATTAAATTATATACCTTACACTTGACAGTTGTGAAACGATAACTTTGATTTATAAGAATTAATGAACAATAAATGTAATTATAAATAATTGTATATGGTCGAATTAATTTTGAGTTTCTGTATATAATGCCAAGATTTTGTAAAAATTATGTATATCAATTAATAACTTTTCAATTAAGTGTATCAAATGAAATTCTTAAATTTCTATTAAAATAAATCTGTTTTCAATTGAATTAAAATATATTTCATTATCTCTGCTATATATATCTAAACTGCAATGTATAATTCAGTGTAAAATATACAATTTTTTGTAGAAAATCAATATTCATCATAAATTATTAAATTATATATATCTTACACTCGACAGCTGTTGGAACGATGACGTTGACAATAGAATATTAATTTAATAATTATATATTTTTTATCTCTACAGGCGAGAATAAAAACCGCGTAAAATTCAGTCGCTAACTTGATATGTCGCGATGCACGAATATCTAGACATTCGACTCGACGCCTGAATCAATTGTATCCAATTTCTCGCGATGACACTTCATAGGTCGATAGACTGGTCTGATCGACCAATCGGAACAGAGAAACATTTCCTCCGTCCATTCCGATTGGTCGACAAATAACTCGACGAATAGATTTTTCGAACACAAATGTAAGTAGATATATAGCTTCAAAATGAAACAGATATATATATTGGAGCTTCGAAGGGAGCGAGAGAGAAGAAACAGATTTATGTCGTTCGAGTCTGACATGTCATCGACCATCGACCTGACGTATCGCTGTTCTACACGTCACACGTTTGTTCGACGTCGCGTTTATTGTGTGGTCGAATCGTTGTGTAGACGTGACACCAATTTAAGCGATCGAGTGGAATAATAAATTTAATTAAAGGGAGAGAGAAGGAAGGAGGGATACTGCAGCTCGATTAATGCAATCTCGCCGGTAATTTCCGGAAGTGCCGCTCCTTTTCGGAACGCATCGCGGACGCGAGTGTCTTACGTGTGTAAATAGATCGAAATTATCGTTATTAAATAATTGAATAATACGTGTTACGTTTTTCGCACCTTTAGATAGTATTACTTATATATAAATATATATCCGAGGGATCTGCGAACTTCATATTTTCCTCGTACCGGTAAGATGACGTTTCTCTTTGCGGAACGTCGAGCTACGTGTTACAGCGATGTAATTTGACCGTAACACGTAGAACTCACGTTTCTATCGTGCACGATGTTTCTTGCGAAAGTGTAAATAATCATTTCATCATCTGTGTAATTTTGAGGTTAAGTTTCCTCTGATTCGACTTAAAAGATTTAACTTAATTAAATACTTTATGATGAATGAAATGTCTTTTTTTTATCTTTGATGAAACTTTTCCACGGTAATTAGAATATATATTTCGTAAAGACTTTGAAGGCACGATTGAACGTAATTAGAATTTTTCACAAAGAGGTTTTTATATATATATATATATATATATATATATATATATATATATATTTAATATATATATATATATATATATAATATAATATATATATAATAATATATATATATATATAATAATATATATATATAATATATATATGTATATCTATATATATATATATGTATATATATAATATATATATAATATATATATATATTTTTTTTAATTTTAGGAATATGAAATGGCAAGAATCGTAGCTTGCATCGTATTAGTTTATCTTAGTGCATGTTGTAATATATTAAGTGCGAATGAGAACCATGATGGCAGTGTCAACGATGAAATACAGAAACCGTCTTATCAAAGTCCAGAACCCTTCGGTTTTGCTTACTTAGCAGAGAACTTTGATAGTGAAGAGAGATTTCGAAATTCCTGGCTGTTATCGGAAGCGAAGAAAGACGATACCGACGAGGATATCGCCAAATATGATGGTAAAAACAGAATGCAATGTTAATATTTTCTTTATTATTTATTTGGTAGATTTTATTCAGAGTATGAAATTAATTAATGCTCTTACAATTTTTGATCTATTTATTTATCTATTCTTTGTTATTCATATTAGGAATTTGGTCCATTGAAGAACTGAAGAAACATGCCGAGGAGGGAGATCTAGGATTAGTGCTTAAGAGCAAAGCTAGACATGCTGCCGTTTCTACTTTATTAACTAAACCATTTTACTTTGAAGACAAACCTTTAATTGTACAATATGAAGTTAATTTCCAAGAAGGACAGGAATGTGGTGGCGCCTATCTTAAGTTGCTCACATTAGATGATAAGCATAAGGACTTGAAACAATTCCATGATAAAACACCGTATACTATAATGTTTGGGCCTGATAAATGTGGCAATGATCACAAGGTATTAATACAAGCACTTATCTTACAATTTTTACATCACATAGAATGCACATATCATGTGGATCTGTTTTCATACATATTATATAAAAATATATAAAATATTAGATATATAAAAATTTAATTTGTGCTGAGTTTTTTTATTTAAAATTTATATTTGTTTCTTCAGCTTCATTTTATATTTCGACATAAGAATCCGTTAAATGGTACAATCACGGAGAAACATTGTAAGAAATCAAAGGATCGATTGGAGGATTATTTCAAAGATAAACAGCCGCATCTGTATACTTTGATTATACGGCCTGATAATAGTTACGAGATTAAAGTGGATAATAAAATCTTAAATTCGGGTTCGTTATTGGACGATTTTGTGCCTCCCGTGAATCCACCTCTGGAGATAGAAGATCCCGATGATAAACAGCCCGAAGATTGGGACGATAGAGAAAAGATTGCCGACCCATTGGCAGAGAAACCTGAAGATTGGGATGAAGACGCTCCAGCGCAGATAGTCGATGAGGAAGACGTTATGCCCGAGGGATGGCTCGAGGATGAACCACCAATGATATCGAATCCGGATTCCGTTAAACCTGATGATTGGGACGTCGAGATGGATGGCGAATGGGAAGCGCCAGATATACCGAACCCAAAATGCGAGGACGCACCTGGTTGTGGTCCTTATAAGCAAAGAATGAAGAAAAATCCGCGATATAAAGGAAAATGGCTGGCACCGCTCGTCAACAACCCCAATTATAAGGGAAAATGGAAGCCTAGACTTATACATAATCCTGAGTATTTTAACGACGAATATCCTTTCAAGATGTTACCAATTGTATGTAAACAATAGAATGTGTGTCAACTGTATGATTATTGTACAGGGTGTTCCATAGGAAATTGCTGAAACTAATCAGCTGTTATTTTTTAATGCATGCAGTTATTGAGAAAATAAAATTGTGTAGGAAAGAGGAAAGTCTGCAATTTTTAATGGATATAAATAAAATGTTTGTATATCAGTTTATTTTATTGATAAAAAGTAAAAGTATATTAAAAACTATAGACTTTCCTCTTTTCAACACAGTTTTTGTTTTCTCAATAACTGCATGCATTAAGAAATGTCAGCTGATTAGTTTCAACAATTTTCTATGAAATACATTAATAATTATAATGTTTAACATTATAAAAATGTTTTAGAGTGCTGTTGGTTTTGAACTGTGGTCAATGTCACTCGACATATATTTCGACAATTTAATTATAACGGATGATGAGGAAGTTGCAAAGAAATGGGCGGATGATAGCTTCGAAATTCGACGTGTTAAAATTGCTGAGGAAAGTGTAAGTATCCTTTTATGTATATTTTTTAAACACTATTTCGCCGTTATAACAATATAATTTTGCAATATAAACGCGTACACTTGAAAATGTATGTATTTAAAGATAATATTTTGTAAGTATGTAAAAACAGTCATAATTAGCACTTACCGAATTTAACGAATTTGAAGATTGATAAAATTTCTTACATTAGTGGATTATGGATTAAATATGCAGGATTCTTTTTGGGGTCGAATGATGAAAGCGATGAATTATAAACCAGGCTGGTGGGCACTGTATTTCTTGTATTGTATAATACCAGTTGTAGCTTACATCTGGTATCTATGCAAACGAGCTCGTGAGGTACAACATTCGCGTGTAGACGTTAAAAGTATTTGCTTGATAAAACGTAATAATCCCATACCTAATTCCAATAATGCGTATTTTATAAATTGTATACTTATATAGCATTTATTTTATATTATACCTTTTAATAAGTTGTATAATTATGTGGAGTAATATTAACGAAAATTATATACATATATACAGGGTGTTAAAAAATTAGACCAACAAATTTTGAAGGAAAATAGATTTCAAAATAAACATTTTTTGTTAAATACTACTTTTTTCTATATTTTTAGTTGTACATTATATGATATGAAATAGGAGTTTGTGACTTAAACAGGCATACAATTTGATTACAAAGACAAACTGAAAAGTTATAAACTGATATATCATGTATTATTAAAACTAAACATAGAGAAAATTAATATTAACAAAAATATTTATTTTGAAGTCTTCTTTCACCCTTCAAAATTTGTCGATCTAATTTGTTAATACCCTATATACAATCCTCATGTACCTCGATAAAGGAATCTTATTATCGTTTAAAGATTAGCAATGGCTTTGCTAATTTTGTTAGAATTTTATATATACTTTCTGCATACACAAGCTTTTGTATGTATATAATGTGTAGCATTTTACAATTGTCTGATGCAGTGGACTATATGGAACCGAATTGCGACATTTACTGCAGAGCATCCATGGATATGGGCAGTATATGTATTGCTAGCTGCAATACCTGTAGTACTGATAATATACTGTTGCTGCTTCTCAGAGGTATAATGTAGTCAATACAAAATAAGAATAACAAGTATTCTTGCACAAAGTAGTATATTTTTAGATATTTAGAAACCATAAAGCGAATAATTTTATCTTGCTTATTTTTCTGTTGATTGCTTTGTAGAGTATATTAAAAGTCATCTATAGAGTTATTTATATTGTTAATATTATCATACAAATGATATATTTTTACAAGTGTCAAAATAAAATTTATATTGTTTCTCCAATATATCAGGATAAATCAGATTTCAAAGATGAAGAAGAAGAAGAAAAGCACCTTTAGAAATAAGCAATGATGTCGCAGAAGATGCAGAAGAAAGTGAAAATCTTCAATCTTTGAATTCTGAACTAGCTGAGCAAAAATCTACTACAGAAGAAACGGAAGATACAGAAAAAGAGACTGGAACAGAGGAAGTAATTGAAAGTGATAAGGTCAGTTAATGAAATTTTAAAATATATATATATATATTTTTTATTTTTCACGAGGAATTGCGATGTTATAATGGTTTAAAATTTTTATATAGAATATACACAATGCATTCCTCTTTTTCTTTTTTTATTGTTGCAATCTGTAATCGTGAAAATGCGCATAATTGCAGAATACATCTCCAATTAGTGGTGAAGGACCACGACGAAGAAAACCAAATAAAGAATAGGAAGAAAAATTATAAAAAGAAATTATTATCGCGCGCGCGGTTTTTGCTGATATTTATGTAATACTGTCACATTCCACATCACATTTGCTACTGTGGATAGTAGATGGTTACCAGTCACTCTAGCAAGTTCAGTCATTGCAATGATGTGATCGATAAGTATTAAATTCCTTCTCTAAAGATATTGATTTTTACTTTGTGGATATATATATATATATATATATATGTGTGTGTGTGTGTTTTGCGCGTGCGTGCGCGCGCGTGTGTGTATGTGTGTGTGTATATATATATATATACATATATATGCAAAAATTTTCATTGATATATTCAAAAAAATTCTCTGATATTACATATGCTTTCGTGTAATAAATGATATATGATGCATATGTATTTATAAATTTGCAAGAGTGCTGTCCATTAACCTGGACACTGCCTTAATAACGTGTTGCATTTATGTATTTTTGCTTATAATATTATAAAATGTTTTAGAATTAAAGATTGAAAACAAATTTGTCTTATTTAGTTTGTATTTTAAATGTCAAAATGGGATAAATTGTAGTAAAAGAGTTACAAATCAATTGAATTATGAACATATAATATGTGAATGCAAGAGATGTAAAATTATAATAATTTACATATCCTGAAATGTCATAAAACAATTTTTTCACGATTCAATAATCATTTATCGACTACTATGGCCGAATCAAATCTAGTTGCAAACAGATTAACCAATTAAAAATTAATTTTTATTTCTATCTTTTAATAACTCTATATATATATATATATATATATATATATATATATATATATCATTTTTTCTAATATTTACAAAAATACGTAACTTGAAAAATGCAATGAATTTATCAGTCACTGTACTATATAATAGTTAATCATCAATAATTTGCCGTTATCATTACGATTATTTAATGTAATATTCACGAACTTTAATGTGTTACTGAGTTATTTAAGTTAAGAATAAGTCTGTATGGTAATTATGTATGTATTAGTGTAATCAGGTACTACGTTGTTTGTATTGATCGACCAAATTGAATTGAAAATAAAATTCAAAGAGATAGAAAAGCCAAATATATATGAAATTGAAATACAATATATTGTTTGATGATAAATATGCTAGGCTTTTTCATTATTTCACTTGGGACATATACATATAAATATGAATTATATAAGTATATGTCGGTATTAAGGCTTCTTGCTACTCGTCTCGTCCATTAGATTGTGACGTCAGAAGCGAGAAAATACATGCTGCAAATTTTTGCGTACCATTTTCAGATAAAAAGATATTTTTATGAAACAACTTCAGATGATTTTAGTGCACTTTTAAAATAGTCCGAAAATATTTTTCCCTTGACAGTTAATCAACAACAATAATTGCGTAAAATAATTGCGACATCAAACTTTGTCACGCGGAATGACTGCGCATGTGAAAGACTATATGGATGAGGCATCATATTCATTTTACAGGTATTGATTGATTATAAAGGGAAAGATAGTTTTCTCACCTTTCTCTGACGTCACAATTTAATATGGTCACAGTAAGTATATCAAGGAGTCTTAAATAAAATATTAAGTTTATGGACTAGTGGCGGATACCCCGGAACTTTGATAACATGTTTTACACGTAGGTACGGCGCGCTGTGATAGATGTCCGGGTAGTTTCGTGTGTACCGCCATGCATCTTGTGCACAACACATCACCGCAGGACCAACAATGATGCTGAAATAAAATTATTATATCATACAAAAACGAATGGCAAAGTATACAAACCGAGAAAATACTTTTATATATATATACCTTTTTGTTGAACGCATCAAATGTGGTGGAACATCCGCATTCTTCTATATTTCGCGATGATTTCCATTCCAGAGCAACCGTTTTCAATTCATTCTCCAATTGACTTACTTTTAATTTAGCTTTCATCTTTTCTTCATGATTTGTAGCATTTTCTATTATTGTCTCCGATAGAGTCTCCTTCATAAATTTATTATCAAACTTATGTTTTCCCTTCTTTTGAGAATTATTTGTAGTTAAAAGTTGTCCCAAAGAATTGACTCGCTGTGGAAGTCGAAAATTGAAGTATAAATTAAAAACACTCGATCTATTTTTTCTTAACTACAGCAATTAAAACGTTATCTATTTAAGATTTCTGTCAAAATTGTGATACATACTTTTAGCAGAAGTTTCACATGATCCTCTAAAGAGCTTGTGTGATCATATATTGTCAAAAGTAGATCTTCACATGTTTCTCTAGGATGTATTCCGTTCTCAAATCTAAAGTATAAACCTCTCCAAAGACTGAAAAAATAACTCGAATTACATTTCTGTGTTATTCACGATTATATAGTGACTAATAAGTTTCGTTGTATAAGAACAACATATTTTTTACACGATAGATTGAGGTGCCAATTTAGGATGAAGGACATCAGTAGAATCCTCATTATTGTAACGATTGCATATGTAGATTGGATTTATATACTCGTTTGTATTATTAGCCAAGTAACCCCACAATGAATATGTTCGCTCGCATAATCTAAAATAATAATTTACAATTTTTATCGGATTTTTTTTCATTTATATCATATATAAAGAGAGGAATTGAATGAAAGAATACCTCAACATTTGTCGTTCCTTCTCCGAATTTCCGATAAATGTACCGTGTTGACAGCTATGTATATGATCGTGTAATGTCAAAAGAAAATATTCATTGAATTGAAATTTGTATGGATATTGTTGCAGCAATTGATACGTCGCATCTATAAACTGTGTAAATATCGGAGCGAGTTCTTTACCATCGCTGCTGATGTACCCACAACGGTCGCTAAATTTATGACCAAACGACAGCCAATCCTTTTCTATCAAAGCCTTAAAAAATAATTTTTTTTTTAAATAAAATTATATATATAAAATATATAACTCTATATATAACTATATATATAACTCTATATACCTCTATATAACTCTATATATATATATATATATAACTCTATATATTTATACAAAGAGTGAAATATACAAGCATGGGCGTCCACAAGGTTTTTTCCAAGGGAGAAGATATGATTAAATTTTTCTTTCTTATTTTTATAATTGTTCTTTCTTAATTTTATTATTTTTTTAATATTAAATATACGAATAAATTCCAGTGTTTATTCAAAAGGAGAATGCATAATTTTTTAATTGATTTCAAGGGGGGCAAATGCTTCCTCTTGTCTCTCTTTGCGGACATCCATGCGTATACAAGATAATTTTGTTAAATAAAATACATATTATGTATTTGTTGTTATATATATATATATATATATATATATATATATATATGTGTAACAATATGCATTAGTATCTAATGATTTTGAAAAATAAATGGTAGGATTACTTACTTGAAAGCCTTGGATGGTTCTGTAAAATGGATCCAACAATAATGCAGCTAAAGAACATACTTGTGCAGTGCGATCCCATCCATCACTACAATGCACCACTACACTTACGCCATTCGCAACAGCTCGTGCGATAAACCAAGCGGTTTCCAGAATAGAACGAATATGTTTTAACCAGCCACTGCTTTCTAGGCCGCTCAAAAATGCGCTCATAGAGGTCGATCTTTGCACTAAGTTGGATAAAACAAAGATAGATTTGATAATAATGTAAAACTAACTGTAATACTTATTTAATACAGGTGACTTTTAAGAAAACGTTTTATACTTACAATCCAAAAGTTTATTTAAACTTGTTCTCATCACATGAATGTTTTCTATTCCAAAGAAATGAAATTTTATATTGTCGTAGAAATTTTCATTCTCGTATCCTTTCCCCGCGGCTCTATTAGCAAAAGCGTTAATCTACAAGAAAACAAATTAAGTTTTGGTTTTTAAAAAATATCTTCTATAAAAATAGAGATACAAAATCATTATTTTTTTCATATATTTATAATACATTCATCAATAAATTAAATATCGATTTGATCCAAATTCTGATCGGGAATAACTTTAGGCTTTCCAAAATTGGAAAGATTTTTTATTTTTAATTATAAAGAAAAAGAAAAAGATAATACAGAATATACAAAAGTAAAATGTAATATTTAATATCTCTAATTTTATATATATAAGAGAAAATTATATATATATTTTAATTGAATGCTCACCCGCGGTCTTGTATCGACAACATACATATATCTCGAATTGGGATTTGTACATAATATATTGTACATCATTTGTTCATCTTCAGGACACCTTGCGCTGAATCCCGAGAGTGGTTGACTGCAGCGACAGATGGCAGCCTGAAATATTATTTTATTTTATTTAAAATGATTTTGTTCAAATACTACATTTAATTAATTCTTTCTTTTACCTTGTTTGAATGTAAATATGTTAAAACTGGCAGTCTTCCTCTGCTTCTAAACTTTGCACTACCCAATAAAATGTTGTTACTACATGTACTAGGAACGTATAAGTACCTTGGATAAGTATCGCAAAGCTGAAAGAATTGATGATTTACATTATTGAGAATAGAAAATGCAAATTGAGAATGAAAATAGAGAAGGATACATACCTCATAATTAGTATTTAAATATGAAAGTGACCACTCTTCATTTGGAACACCCTGCCGTTGAAATTCACTCTGTACATTGAAGAAATTCCATCCTGCGTGCTGAGGTAGAGTATCTTCACTCTCTTGATAATTAAAGCAGTACAAATCTTCTAAACTAGCTATATGGAGAGAAAAAGATAAATTATTATGTCAAAAACTGCTTTCCAAATTGTCTTTTTGTATAATAAATAATTTTTTAAATATAGTTTTTCTTTAAAAGATCCTTAGAAGATACCAATGAGATATAAACAGAGATATATAAACTAATGAGATATAAACACTTACCAGGGCAAGATAATTTTAATAATGTGAGGTAAATCTCATGACAATCGCGTTCCTTTGGAATAACAAATGTGACGATAAAGAAGTGTTTGCATTTAATGTACAGCGGTGATCCTGTAGTTGTCAATGGCTGTTTCTCTATGTTAGAGATATGTGTGTACAATACCTGCAATTATGACATTATGTGTGAAGAGAACCATTACTTTCATCTCAAATCAATCAATAGATATAACGAGTCTGATATAAATTACCCATATTTTCTTTTTGCCACTTCTTTCGACAAAGATGAGGTGTGTCACCGTTAAGTAGAGAGTACCAATGGAATGATTATTGCTATATTTATCCAGCATTCTCACATTTTCTACCTGCAAACGTATTGCTTCCTGGAAAACTTATACTATGTATACAAATATAAAAAATAAAGGCTTCTTATAATCACTATCACATTTTATATTTTATTCAGAGTTTAATTATAATAAAAAATGTTTCTATAAGCTCATATATGATCCTAATATTCAGCTATATGTATCGTTAATTTGTTACTGGCAGAATTAAAACGAAAATTAAGTTGAAAATTGCTTAATACCTTAGGAATCTTTATCTGCTCCATCTTTGTAGTCTTTGAAGAGAAGTTGTATTTTACATGTACGTTATCAAATAGAATTATATTTTATTTAGGCGACAACGATGTGATTAACATATGTGCGATTAATATATATATTGTTCAACTTTCACGAGTGGAATAAAAAGTCACTTATTCTAAGTGTAATCTATCGCTTGTCAGATAACTAAAATATTAATAGGCAAGATTGCTGCCATCACTTTTCCCGAAGTGTTAGATTACAATATCTAACACTCACAAACAAACACACGAACTGTCAAACTGTCATTTGGAGCTTGACTTGAAGTATACCGTAATTATAGATTCGAGCTCTACTTTTTTGAATTATAAGCTGCGGAAGATAATGTAGAAAGTCGAATGTATTATCAATCGGTATTAAAAATTTTGAAGTAAAAGTTGACAGATAGAGTTTGACAGATGGCGAATACGATGATGTGAACTGGCGCAACACAGCTCTTGCTAAACGTGAATTTTCCTCTGCACAAGAGAATTCAGCTGTCAAAACTTTTATCCTACTCTTATTTATTATGAAATAAAATATATAATGCGATTTGAAAGTGCCTATCATTAAAAGGAAACGGATATGGAAATGGTTAATGCGGATGAGCTGATCTCAAAATTAATCTCTGGCACTTATGAAGAATTTTGTGACAGCATTGTTGTGTTTCTAAAAATTGTGAGTGTATTCTACGTGATACATTATTGAGTAATATAAAACAATATTATTTATAAATTTTTACATTAAAAATGCTTTATTTGTCAAGTTGTTTTACCTCAATTCATTGGGGTTTCAATAGCAATCTTGTGCAATAAAATTTAAACAATTTATGTCATAGAAAGTATATAATTATTTAAAAATTAATTTTTCTTTATTTTAATTATTCTATTGTGCACTAACATTAGTATTCAGAAAGATATTTCTTACTTCTTTTTATTTTGTTGAACATATTGTAGTAAATAACAAATTATTTGTTTTGCAATTTATGTTTCAGTATGATAAGAAGACTAATTTTGGAGAATTGAATAATAACTGTTTACGAGAGAAGCTATGGAAAAGATTATTTTATTATTTAACAGATCACACTCATCTAGACCATCATCATCATTGTTTAGCTGCTTTAAGAATACTCAGGTAATACATTATAATATTTTTTAATATTTATTTATTTAATGTAAAAACAAAAATTTATTTGCTATTTTGTAGATATAAGAAACATGAATGTCATACAGAAATAAGTTTTATATATTACATTTCTATACACTTGCTATAATTTTTATATATTTTATTTTTTCATATTTTAGCCGAGATAAAACCAATTTAAATGAACTAATTACTGATGAGGCAATAAAAATTATATTGCAAAATGCAGATTTGACAAAAATATGCGAAGAAGAACAAACTTCATATACAGCTGGTAAAAATAAATTTTCTAATATATATATTTGTATCTTTCATATTTATTAGATAATGCATGTATTTATACATATATATACAAATATATTTATATATATATATTTTAAATTGCAGTTACAATAGAATCATTAAAGTTGTTATGCAATTTACTATTTAATAGTAAAAAAGTGCAACAATCGAAAGTATTAGTATCTTCCTTGCCTTATCTTATTGACCGAGTAAAAAATTACACAATTAATGTTCCATATCATGTCAAATTATTTGACATAAGAATACTATTTCTTCTTACTGCATTAAATATATCTACAAGAGATATAGTCAAAACTGATTTATGCGGTGATATATATCTTATTAAAATAATAGAGGAATTTGTGACACAAAATTGTAATAATAGAGCAACAGTAATTAAGGTGAAGAGTTTTTATCATATTGTAAATAATGTTTACACACATATATATTGTTGTGTGTATTTGTATCTAAATGTGATTTTAAATCTCTTCTTTATTTTTAGACTGAGGAAATAACGATAGTTTGTGAAGTTTTAAAGGTTCTATTTAATTTGTATATACATTCTGATGATATTGTCGAAGATCAAGAGAAATATAGGAACTTGGTGTTAATTTTATATAAACTGTTAGTTTTTAAATACTCATTACAACAAGATGATTTAGAAAGGTATATATTCATGATACAGTGTAATAATTACTATATGTTATCACATGCTAATTTTATATTTTTCTGTTTTATTCTGTTTTAGCAATGTCATCAATTTATTGACTGTAATACCATCTAGCTGTTATGCACCAATTGTACAACCTGTTGCGAGCGATGATTGCAAAAATGTATATCAAAATATGGATATGAGCGCAATATATGTTCTACTTAGATTTTTAGATCAAAGATTAGACTGTAAGATAAATTTGATAGAAAATGTTTCTCCAGTAGTTACTGCATTGATTAGACTCGTCAAATCGGAGAGGATTATTCGTAAATATGTGAGATTCCAGGTAAAATTAATTTTGCATATTTAGCATATAAATAATCTTTGTAGTAATTAAATGTTTTCATGAATAATTAAAAACTCATATTTTAAAAAAATTAGGAAAAGCTTTTTGTTTTCAGAAAAGAAAATTACCATTAGAAATAATTAGTTTTTCCTAAAAATTTTTATCTCGAATATAATTAATAATTGTAGTATAGAATTAATATGAATTTAAAACTATTTCAAATGTACAGATAATTAACAAATATAAAATACAAATGTTTCAGATTCTACCTCCATTAAAGGATGTGATGAATCGTCCTGAAGAAGGGACAACGTTAAGGGCCAAATTATGCAAATTATTAACTTCGCCTATCACAGAATTGCACGACCTAGTTGCAGAACTTTTATTTATCCTTTGTAAAGAGAATGGTATTTATTTGTTGTATTAAAATATCTCGTACACAACTTTTATATTACGATTTCATCTAGAATTAATATAACTTCGTTATAATAGAGTAAATATTATCTACAGTTAATCGCATGGTGAAGTATACAGGATATGGAAATGCGGCGGGTATGTTTGCCAAAAAAGGACTGTTGGGTCGTAATCAGGTGGAAACAAATTATTCTTCAGAATCGGAAGATAGCGAAACGGAAGAATACATAAAGTTTAAAGAGCAGTAAGTACGAGATATATTTAAAATGAAAATCTTTCTCCTTAGTACTCGCAGCGGTCATATTAGATTGTAACGTCAGAGCCGAGAAAATACACTGAACATTTTTGCATGCCATTTTTAGATAAAGATATTTTGATGAAACACAATTTCAGATGGCTTTAATATTTTTACAATATTTAAAAATAAATCTTTTTATCTAAAATTGGCACGCAAAAATTTTCAGTATGTATTTTTTCACCTCTGACGTCACAATCTAATATTGCCGCGGTAAATATCAAGGAGCTTTAAAATATATTTTACAAACGTATTTTTCATGTTAAGAATAAACCCAGTGACCGGATGTTTCGAGAGTCCCAAATCAAATCCATTTGAAGGTATGACAGATGCGCAAAAGGAATATGAAGCCTTACAGCTAGTAAATCTTGTTGATAAGTTAACGAGGTGAGTTGTGTATATTGAAACTTTATTTATTCGTCACAGATCAAAAAGATATGCGCGAGATATACAATTATTTATCATAGTCTATATATATATAATCCTAAACAAAAGCCGTAATTTTTACATATTTGTAATATTATATATATGTAAATCTGTAATATATATTATTGGCTGTAAACAACTACAATGCGTGGTCGTACATCCTTCTATGTATAAAAAAATATATCGAAACAATGTTGTTGTTTAGGGAGGGAGTCGTGCGCCCTTGTCGCATCGGCGACGATGGAAAACCGCAACCCATAGAACACGTTCTCGAATTACAGAGCGAATTACCGAGACAACAGTACGGCAGGAAGGACTCCGACTCCGAATAAATACATTTCCAAAATACAGGACATGATCTGCATGTATAGATATATCGATATTCTTTCGAATAAAGATGTCTAAAGTGAATAATTTATCTCTGTCATATGTGTGTATGTATGTATGTAGGTATGTACGAAATCGTTACTTTTTGTTGGATAAATATGTCACTAACGATTGTCTAAATTACGTAGAATATACATGTAAACATAAAAAATTGCTATGATAAAAATATCGAGTTGAAAATTCCGCAAGTCGTTGTTTCCCATAAATTAAATCGCGAGGAGATAAATGTTGTACATAAAAAGAATTGGACATGCTGTAATAAAAAGAATTGGACATGCTATAATAAAAAGAATTGGACATTCAGTTGATTACTTTATTGAAAAAGAACAAAGAACAACATTACAAATTAAACAATTGGCAGGAAATAAAAAATATATAACAGTTTCTCCAAAATCACATGAAATATTTAAACATTACAATTTTGGTAAAATGTGTTATGTGCTTTGTGAGCATCACAATATATTATTATTGCATTGCAGCCTATGCGCAGACAAGAATGTATACCTCTACACGTTTCAAATAACTGCATATAGTGATATATCATTTGAGAATATCTTAGTATAGGATAGTACATATGAATTGACAGGCAATGGCAAATTGAGTTGATATGATGAAGCAATGTACGATCAACGGAGAGCATTATCTTTTTTTTAATATATTTTTTTAAGGCTAAATTCTGTGTCCATCCTATAATAAAATATTTTCAATATAATACATTTGACAAATATATATATGTATATATATAAGTAGCAAATGTTTCATATCTTTAATTATGTAATACGGTATGTAGATTAAAATATTTTTTTTTTCCTTTTTTTTTTGTAAAAGTGTATATAGATGTGTATACGTATAATACCATTAAATTTGAATATATATTATATAAAAATGAAACTTAAAATTTTGTAGATAGATACAAGATATATATAGAAAAAAAGCTGATATGCGATAAATAAAAAGGTAAAAGGAGGAAAAAAAAGAATTGTAGATCTGTGCTACAGATATCTCGGGGACTAGCCTTGACAAACTTTGGAAGATTAAAAATTCGTAAACTAAGAGAGAGATAGATACATATTGAAATACTTTGAAATTCAAGTAGTCCGACGACAGATGGGGAAGAAGGGAGGGAAACGGGAGGGAGGAAGGTGCTTAATACAAAGGCTGAATAATAGGTTTTGAGGAAACTGATTTGCGTATTACACAGTCACGCGATTTGGACGTGTATAGCTCTAAATAATACATTACAAGGTGACCATGCTCCTTGGCATCCCATTAGCATATAAAAAATATATCGGTATACACGCTTTCCATATTGCATTTACAATTTACCTTTTTCTCATCATCATTGTACTATTCTCATACAGTTTATATTTTGAAGTAGAAGTGCGATGTCGGAACATTATTTAAAATCTTTTCCTTTCTTTTTCAGAAATATAAGTTCGTTTCTTAATGCAAAATACCAATGGAGGTTTCAGGAAAACATGGTTTACACACAGCGTAATCCATAATCGGTTCTCGCACACAATACAGCTGTTACAGATATATATATATATATATTTATATTTATATTGCGTAACGCAAGTTAAACGATTGAAAAGTTCATTCCGAATACATGTTATTCATATTATAAATTTGTGTGTTGTGTGTTAGAGATAAACTAATACTAAACTAATTTTGCGTAGAGAAAAACGTACCGGAGCCAGAGAGGCTGAGTAGCTTTGGTAAAGCAATCGCTCTTGATGTTACAACAGATGCTAATTCTTTTTTCCGCGTTTACAAAAAAAGATCCGTTGCTAACAAAAAAAGCTTTTTACGGATAAAAAACCGATAATGCCGATGATAAGTAATTGCTTTACCGTAACAAGACTCGCTCTCTCGTTTTCAGCCTCGCGGTTGCTACTTAAAAGTAAGATGAAAAAAAAACGCGGGAGAGATCAGGGATATATTTCGTGGGTATGCTACTTGAGAAGAAACGTCGACACCTTTTTTTAGCATACCAAGTTGGAATGCAACTGTATGTAACGCGTGTTTCAGTGGTCAATTTGATATGTAAACAAAGTACCTCCAAAAGGAACGTGTGTTGTAATATTTTTCAAATAAATATTACACGCGTATATAATAATGGTGTGTCTGTATATTGTATATATATATTATATATTTATAATATATATATATATATACATACAGGCAATGGCGAAAGCATTTTCTCTTTTACCCTCATTTCTCAGCCTGTTAAGTATTACCATATATTCATGTAAACTAATGCAAATAAATAAAGCTAGAGTGCTGTTTTGAGGAATGAAACCAAGTAACAGTATATACGCCTTTTAACACGCCTTTCGCGTTACACTTATCTTCTAAAGATAGAATATATATTAAATATTTGTACTTTAACTGACTAAGCAAGGATTTATAATCTTAAATTTTTTTGTCTTCTTACTCTAAAAACTTCGATATCCCGACGCGACGCGGAAAAAAAAACTCAAAAGAGACGAATAAAATAAACTCGTAAGAAATAAAAACAAGTCATAAGCAATATACACATATGTTATATAAATACTCTGATTAGTCTGTGTTTTGGCACTAAAGAATTTAATTTATCTATCCCATAAAAATGTGTGATAAAATGATTGATTTTTTTGGAATGCAGTAAATCGTAAAGTTACAATTAACATGAATACTTGTTACATCTATATGAACTATATAATCGCTCCCTTCTGCTCCTTTCAAATGAAGTAGCACGACAAGCTGTTAATACAATTTTTCGTTGTCATCCCACCTCAGATTGAGTATTTCAAACAAAGAAAAAGAAAATATGACAACAATTTTAAAAATTTTTAAAATAAAAAAAAAAAAAAAAAACGAAATAAACGTGAAAAAAAACACAACTGAAATGCAAGTGAATATTGTTGTGCAATAGAAATATATATGTATATATACACGTTCTTTCTCTCATATAAAAGAGATACAACTATCGAGAAATTAATAAAAACCAATTAAACAAAACAATATATAAATAATATAAATACACATTTATATGGAAGCAGTTCCGTGTTTTTTTAAATATCGCATAAATAAAAATGTGATAGATCAAAATATGGAGCAAAGCTCAACCGTAAACCTCTGGCAAAATAATACTTGCCGAGGGAATTATTTCTAATATGTATCCAGATATATAAGAATACGCTATAATAAGCGTCGAAAACAGCCAATCGAACACATAATGCTTGCATAAAGATAAAATTAATGATATATAAGACGGTGTATATGAGCGCGCGAGTAAGGAATAAAAATATTGTTACAAAAATAATGCAGAACGCTTACCACATAATAATAAACTACACAACTTTTTCTTTTTCGTTTTTTTTTGCCTTTTTTCTCTTTTTGATCATAGACTTTTCTTTCCTTCCAATATATATAACTTATAAATATGTATAAATATATAACTTAAATTATGCTGAAGATATGAAAAAAAAAAGAAAAAAAAGATCACGGATCTTTAATGTATAAGCCATGTATAATAAAATGTAACCATTTGCTGTTAATTTAGTGTAAGATCATCCTCCTTTTGTTACGCTTCTCTCCTCATTTATAACCAGCTATATAGTGTTAATTGGCCATGCCCTAATCAATATAGCAAAGTCATAACTCTTTTTTTTAGGATTCTAGGAAGACTATGATTAACCGTAGGCTAGAATTCAGTTTATGTCGTGTCATGTTAGTCCTATTATTTATATAATTATAGATGTTATGAACCTCGCACAGCAGTAATTCTTATTGTATAATTGTATGCGATTCTTTTTCTTTTCAAAATCAGGAACATATTCGTGTATCTGTGTATGTTGTATGTGTGTATATATATGTATGATATATAGCAACAATTTTACTTTTCTCTTCGAATACACGACATATTTTATGATTGACAAATATTCTGTCTTGCGTAATTTCAAATTTTAGATTAGAATAGAGCAGCTCGAAAAGCGCCCGTATAATTGTCTTCCTCGTGTGTTAAAATAGTGTTAAATGGTATATATTATGTATATATGTTGAAAGAAAATTTTGAATTGTGGGAACAAATGCAATATATTAATTGCGCTAATTTTGATTTCTAAATAAAACAAGTGGTGACTACAAAAGTACATACATATACATTATAAAAGGAAACGATACCGTAAATGAAATTCCACAGCACGAAAATATAGCGCATAAAAAAAAAAAAAAAAAAAAAGAAAAATCCGGTCGTATAGTATAAAATGAAATAATTCTGTGTTCGAAATTATATCGGAGAGAATCTCTGTGGCACCTAAAAGGCCTTGGAAGTTTTGTATAGCAATAAAAATAGTACTGCTAAAGTAATACACGGGAACCTATTGCATATATCCAAAATACGATCTTCTCTTCGATTATACACTGTCAGTTGTAAAACTGTTTAGTGTGGATATAGTTATATATGAGAGCTTCTTTTTTTAAATATTAGTTTAACAATGTAAGCAAAGTTTATCTATTACGTACAGAGTGACTATATAATTCTATACATATTAGGATATAATAAGACTTTTGAGATTGTAAAAATCATCAAAAAATCTATCACAATTACCATTTACGTAACAAGTAATTCTCGTTCTTTATTATTCATTTTTCTTTATATTATTGTTGTAATTTAAACATCAAGGCAAATAAGGGGTGAATTTCAACAGTGGCCTAAATTAGCCAAGTAGTCTTCCACAGATAAAAATATGTAAATAGAGTAAATCTATACTAAAATATTCAAGTATATATAAGGTGTGAGCGTAATATAATAATTTTGTGAGGTAAAAGACCCTCTCGTTAATGGTCATCCATTCGTTACACGCTATGAGTTTTTAATATGACTGGCAAAAATTTTTGCAACGTGTGTTCTCTCTTTTATTTTGAATATCTTTTTTTTCCTTTTTATATTTAATGTGTATCATCGGAGAGACGATTGATGGCCTTCTGGGATCTTAGGTGTTATTGTGCTTGCGAAACACACCTTCCAGTCAGCACCAATGATAATCTCTCACACTGATACACTTCTCTAATCAATATATTTACCTAGCAACAACATCAGAGACTCTTTAAGGACACAACTTATCCTGACGATACTATTATCACAGGCATTATTTATATAACTCTGCTAACCATGACTATTAAATATTTTTCAGAATTAGTTTTTCTTTTCTTTTTCTCCTTTTTACATATAAAATTAAAACTTCTAACGTTACACGAGAGATGAGTACGACTGATTAGCTTAGGTGTATGTATACGTAGGCTTCGTGCAATTTTACTACAAATGCCGATGTTATATGCGCGAGCTTTAAAATAGCCTCCTAGTACTGCTCTCTTTGTGTTTCTCATTCGTCTGATTTTTCCCCTTCTTTACCTGTCTTATATATGAATAATGAAATCAGATATTATCGAAAATTTCCTGTGTATGCAAACAAATCTGATAAAGCTAGTCAAGTATAAATATAAACACATATAAATATAAACATATATATTTTATATATTGTATATATATATATATTAAACATATATTATATACATATATATATTTACGTATATATATATTTATATATGTATATATGAATGTGTGTGCTACCTAGCATTTGGTATGGCAAGATAGTATTTGTTAATTAAACATTATTGTAGATAATGTAAGGTAACACAGTGTGTAGCAATCTGCCAAATATCCGATTTACATATGTTGTATACACATTGCATTTTAGTTCAATCAAATCTTAAGGCTGATCATGTAAACAACCCTAAAAAATATGTGTATTTCTATATATGTATGTGTTTTATGTAATTTTACTTTTCCCTTTTCTTTTTTTCAATGGATCTCACGTTAATTATATACATAAATAGAGGTTGTTTAGCAAACTGTATGTTCTTTTTTTTTCTTTACATAGATAAAGTATCGTCCCTATGATACCGGTGGTATGTGGTACTCTTATGAACCTTATATAATATATTACGTGAAATCGTCGCCTTGTATTTTGTAAAAAAATGCGCGGGAACGATTTCTGTAATTTTATAACAAATACATTTACACGGTATGGATACATTATTCACTAGCACCACAAACCAATATAATTCACACACGCATATATGTTCATATTCATATGGTGGACCACACATAATAAAGCATCCTGAGTAAATATTGTAACCATTATGTGTCTCGTCTAATTTTAACAATGCACAAATGGGATCTACTCGTTTTTTTCATTTTTCGTAAATGTAAATATTATAATTATTTTACTTTTTTTTATGTTCAAAGTGTTATCCTCTCTGTACGACACTTCTTATATAAGATATTAAATGTTTGATTTTCAACATACCATAATCTATTCCTTGCACATTAACGTTGTTTTTATATTATGTTCTCAACTATCATTTTCAAACGCGCAGAAAGAAATCAGGAACATGGCTTCTTATTAAGCTTTGTGCCTGCTGCAATGAGGAGTATTGTTTCATTCTCTTCTTTAGAAATACGATATGATAAGAGCAGGAAGTACTATCAACTACCTCGCAGCATGCAACATTCTTTTTTTCGTTTTTTATTTTTTCTGTTAAGCGAAAAATTTTGATCCTTTTATCGTGAAATTTTTATCCTGCTGTGAGCTTATTAGTTTACTTATAGAAGCTCTTAAAGGAAAACCTTTTAAACATAATCTCTGTACTCATATGCATCTTGAAGCATCAGTTAGGACTAAGAAGACAAACATTCTTGATTAATAAAAAATCAAGACGAGAGAACGTCTTGTTTCGAGCACGAATCGAAACCAGCGCGCAAAAAGTGCTCGTCGGAGACTAGAATAATTTGATTTATAAACATACTTAAAATACTGACGTGTGTCAAAAATGATGTACAACAACCAATTTTGACGGAAGGCCATTATAAATTGCTTTCGCTACTACAAACGACCCACCCAACTGGCTGGTTGGTCGATTATAGCTTAACTGCTTCTCTTTCTCTTTCTTTCTCTCAATTAACTGGTTTCACTTAGTTAATTTAATTTACTTTGGCAGTTTACCAAAATGCAAATTGCTAAGTTACTATTATACTGTTTGGTCGGAGACGTACATTATCTTTCTGCTTTTTTTTTGTTTTCAATATTGTTACTTTCATAAAACGGGGACGCATTATATTTTTACAACTATTAAAGCTGCATGCTGCACTTGTTTCTATTGCTTCGATAGGCCCAAAATTGGAACGTAATGCCTTGGGCATGCCCTTCTCATCTCTTTCGTTGAAAGCAGTTTCCAAAGAAGTTTTCATTCGAAGGAGAAAGTTACAACATACTTACTCGTCTGATGCCACTTCACAATATATAAAGAGTGTTTAATACAAGGACATGGTGGTTGTTTTTGGCCAGTGTTACAATATATCCCTCTGAAGTTATTTTCAAGCCGCAACATCGAGACACCTATAAGATACAACATTATTACATTATCACAATGTACAAATATTATACAAATTTTTTGCTTATAAAAATATTTTATATTTATATATATTTATATTTTGCAATATACTATATTATACAATTTGTTTAAATCTATTATATTTATAAATATCAATCAATAGCAACAGTAAACAAAACAACATGTTAGATAAAATAAAATGCAATATAAAATAAAAAGATATTAATATTAAATTATTTATCAAGTTCTCTTTACATTTGATTAACCAGTACAAGAATACTATTATTACTGGCACATGTAAATATAGATTTTTAAAAATGTGTACTATATATATGTTTTCATTTATTTTTTCTGATTATTTATTTCTGATAAAATATGTAGTATGTTCTTACCTTTACATATGGACATTCAAATTCGGAAATTAAAGAGCCAGCTCTAGAGAAGACAGCTACATGAAAACGATTACCATGTGAATCTCCAATTAATACATCTCCTGCATCGCTAATATCAATCCCGTTTGGGAAGTTTGTTACATTCTCACAGCCGATGCGACGCAGGAATTTACCCTCTTCGTTAAACACGACGACACAATGTCCCTTGAAGTCGCAAACAAAATATTCTTTGCCTAAAAATTTCATAAAGAATTATAAATTATTATACCATGTCTCTATACACGCGCGTTTCTTTTTTTTACATTAAACTTTTATAGACTAAATAGAATTTTTCAATAAACAAATTAGTAAGAATTATTAAAAGTTATCAAATATTAATAGTAATCTTGTTACAAAAATTGTATTATTAAGAGGAAAAAAAAAAGAAAAAAAGAAAAAAAAAAAGAAAAAAGAAAAAATGATGCCTACCACTGATAGCGATATCACTTGGTTCTCTCATATAATCACTGCAATCAAACCACCTCAAAAGATCTCCAGTATCACTGATTACGAACACAGTTGGCGACACACTGTCAACAGCCACAATATGTCCTTGGCTGGTAACAGCTAGGCCAGCTACGATATCGATGTAACGAATAGCGATCTTCTTAATAAAGTGACCGTTCTTTGTAAATATCTGCATTCGAGATCGTTCATTTCCACGATCACATACAACAAATTTGCCATTATTTCTCATGACGGCCACTTTCCTGGGATACCACAATTGTCCCTCCTCTTTACCAGGAACACCAAATTGAAATTTGAAGGTACCAGTCTTATCAAAAATCTGGAATTAACGTGTATAAAACATTTATATAATTTATTATAAGATTTATACAATTTTTAATTTTTTTTTTCTATAAAGAAATAAGTTTATATATTGAGATAATTACCTGAATTCTATGATTATTTGTATCTGCAACGATAATATCTTCATCAGTTCCCAGACAAAATCCATGAGGAGAATTGAATTGCCCTTTACTGGGTCCTAACTGTCCAAATTTGCTCCGGATATGCATAGGCGTCAATTTCGTATTCTGAGATCTCGGGTGAGCAGGGTAATTTCCTGTCCCTGATCCAGTTACATTGGCAACGGTATTTCCTACTACTACAGGCATGTTATGCATAGAATCACCTATTAAGTCATCTAAAAATAAAATGTCGATATTAATAAAAATAAATGCAATTAAAAAAAATTTTTAATAACTTTTATAAGTAAAAAATTTGTTAAAGCAATATTAATTATATAATTAGAAATTAGGATAATCTTACCAGCACCCTGTGAAAGTATTGGTGAAGTGGAAGAGGACAGTGGCTGAAATCCTCCATTTAAAAGATTATTGGCAGCCAAAGGACCCAGATTTGGGGTATCTACAATGGCTGGTGAAGGTCCACGTCCCAATACTAATCCACCACTGCCATTAATAGTGGCATTTCCTAGATCTGTATTGAATAAATTTGTTAAATGCAAAATAATAAACTCGTGTATAGTAAATTTAAAACAAGTTTTAGTATATGTATAAAACAAACAATTTTTAATTTTATAAAGAGAAAAGAAAATGTAAATAAAAAACGTAATTAATAACAATTAAATATTAAACAGCAATAGCTAACCAAATATATGTTGTACATAAAATATCTGTGTATAAAATTGAAAAATGTAAATTATAATAATTCTTAAAGGACTAGTTTGTTACATAGTATAGAAGCGCACTGTAGCAAACTCATAAATTTTTTAATATTGCATTCCTTACCTTGATTACCAAGAGTATTTCCTAATTTTGCGAGAGCTTGTAAATTATTGATGGCATGGCTTGTTGAACTTAGATCCCCAGCAAATAAGTCTGCCAAAGTGAAGGACGGAGTTGGACTAGGGTTTGAACTAGGTCCAACTACACCAGTATCGCCCACCATCTCTACCTTTTCCGCTAAACTGGCCAGTTGTTGTAGATTGTATTCTTGGATACTAGTCAGTCCGTGGATAGGAACCGTACCTGGTGGAAGAGGTACAGGTGGTGGAGGTGGTGGAATATTTTGAGGACTTGAAGTTGGTGGTATAACAAATGAGGGTTCACCTTCAAAAGAGGATTGCATCGACGTGGGAAGTGAAATGGGAGAACTTGTGCTGATGGAACTTGGACAACCCATTGAAGTGGTGTGAACAATTTGTTGATTCGTAGAGACTCCTGATACTGTTGAAATTGGTTCAGGAAGAGGTTTCACTTCTGGTGTACTTTCAGTATGAAATTTCCCAAATACCTCCTATAACAAATAATATTTAACATAAATTTATACATAATATAAATTTATTTTGATCAATGATATAATTATTTATGCATATTTACCTTTACAGTTTTCTCAAAATGATTATAATCCGTTTGAAATTCGATAGAGAATGTTACATTATGTTTTGGTGTATTTTTAACTAAATTCATCAATTGACCTCCTACAATACGGCGAAGGGCCAAAATCTCCACTGCATCACCGTGTTCTAGGAGTCTCGAAGTAAAACGACAAGCATCACCTATCTTTTCTACGGTTTTTGCGACACTGCAGGAAAATTTAAAATGTTTTAAAAGTATATAAATATGTTGCTTTCTGTGCTATTTTGTTAATAAAATATAGACAGCTACCAAATGTGTATATATACCTGTGAATAGTATCCATGATTTCAAGTTCTCTGTCCAAATGCAATTTATCGAGTTCGGTTAATGTATTCTTTTTAACTTTCTCCAATATTGCCTTATAACTTTGAAAAGTCTCTATAATTAAATCTTTCGCTTGGTCACGTTGTACTTGCAGCTCGCTAAGTGCATTATTCAATTGTGCCGATACCTGATCGCACTCAACAATTTTTACTTTACTTTCAGTCATCAAATTGACTAATTCTTCTTTCTGTCGTGGTTCCGCATCCGTTAGTCGTTCATATTGATGCTCCGGTGCTTTGTGCTCCACAAGCAGACATTCATTGCAAATAGGTTCCTAATACATACACAATTTAACTTTACAGTTGAGATTCTATTATCAGAATTAAATTGATGATGAGATAATAAATATTTCAAAGATGTACAAATTATAAAGAGATAAATAAAGAAAAGTTTATCAATTATTAATTTTTCATATCATATAATATCAATTATACTTGTAAATTATTTAAAAACACTGTTCTAATGTCTCAATTCTTTTTCTGTGTGTCTAAAGTAAAATATAATTTATACAAAAATACACAAATTTAGGGAAAAAAAAAAAAAAAAAAAACCCCCATCGATGCATACTTTTTAATTAAATTACTTGGCAGTTCCAACGTGCAGTCGACTTTCGACTATCATCAAAGTCTCTGTACGCACCTGGCATGTGTGACAGTAGAACTTCATGTTCTCAGCGGGATGGCATTCGCAGAATATCGGTTTGTGTATCGGAATAGCTTCGTTGGACTGCTTCAAGTCTTCGAAGGCGACAACCTTATGGTGCTCGAAGCAACGCATAAACTGATGCGCCGTGTTGCAGTTCGGGCAGAGAAAATTGGCGCAGTCCGAACAGCGCGCCACGGCGCTCTCTTTGGCCTTGCAGGAGGTACACAGTACTGCCATGTTTTCGATAGCGGACATGTCCAATATATTGGTGAGAACGTAGTCGCACGTGAGCGACGCGGCGCCCTTAGAACTAACGGAAGTCTCTTGGTGGCACACGGGACAGCTGATGACAGAGCCGACCTTCGAGTCCCCGGCCTCGTCCATCAGCAGCTTGTCCAGACAGGCCTCGCAGAACACGTGGAGACAGGTGAGCACCCTGGGCGCGCAGAGCTTGCTCGTACAAACGGCGCAGATCTGATCGCTGGCCTCGCCGTTGCCGCAGCCTTCCTCCAGGGCGTCCCCAGGGTTGCCTCCGCCGAAGAGATCGCCGCCGTCCAGCTCCTCGGTGCTGCCGTTCGTCGTCGCGGATCCGGCCCCCGTGGACGATGCCATCCCGAGAGGCCGTGGGGGAGGAGGTCGTTCTCCGTCCATGATTGTTCCTGCTTCCTCCTCTTTCAGCTTCGCCTCCTTCTGTGACTCCTCCCTACTCGGTTTTCTCGCCTCTGCACGCGGCTTCGCCGAGGGCCAGAGAGCGAAGGCGGAGAGGGATGGCGAGGATTTCTCTCGGATCTTCCTCTCTTCTCACGAGGCGCGCGACCCTCGAAACATCGCACTGTCGCGCTCGAGAAGGCGCGAGAAACAAAACACGGCGTTAAGGCTCGTCGCCTCGGATCTTCAGGAAGGAGAGACTGGGGAAAATCTATCTTGCGCGAGCTTGGCCGCGTAGATGTGTATGTGTGTGTATATATATATTTTATATACGTATGTATGTGTGTATATATATATATATATATATGTTAGTATGTGTGCGCGATTAACGGTTGTTCGGCTCGTATATCGCGCAATTTCTTACTCGGAGATTGCGTCCTTCCTCAACGAGGACCACGAGAATCGCGGGATAGCAACCGATCGCGCGGGTACGTTTATTCGCATCACAGTATACTTAGAATTCAGCCACTGCGTCGATCGTCCACCTCCTTCTTCTTCTTCTCCTCCTCGTCGTCGTAGTTGTAGTGTATCGCGCTCGTAGCAGCACTAAAACTTCCCGATCGTCGACTTGGCGCTCGGCACCGCGGCTCGGGTATCGGGAATGCTCTTCGACATTATTTAGCCATCGACGCGCCCGGGAGCCTCCTCCTTTTTGTGTTTCCACGACGACGAGTTGGAACTCCTCCCTGCGATCAAAACGCCTCGAGTGTCTCGTCTCGTCCGCGAATAATTTTCGCAGTCCTTCGTACGTGGAACAAACGAATAAATCATTCGAACCGAGAAGAGCTCATCCCCTCGATGCGGTGAACCTTGGATGTAGTCGCTCATCTAGATGGGAAAGCGCGAATTTGTGCGCGCGCATGCGCGATAGGAGCGACCGATCATGTCGCGCGGTTCTTCAAACATCTCGATGCGAGATTTTGATTATAGAATTTAGATTTTTATTTACTTTTTTATGTGTTTACATTTATATTTTTTATGTTTTTTTTATCTTTTTTTTCTATTTATATTTATATTTATGTTTTTAGTTATATTTTTATATTGATAAAACGCAATCAATTAATTAGTAATTTGTAATTTAAATAAAAAATAAATTAATTATAATAATATAATAATAATTATATTAATTATAATATAATAATATTATAATATAAAAAAAAGTTAATTTAATAAAAAAAAAATAATTTGATCATCCAGACAAATTTGCATACTAATGCAGAAAATGCGCAGAAAATGAATATATATTATTTGTATGATGGTATATTGTACATCAGACATTTGATTGGTTAATTTCTTATGTATATGGAAAGAAATAATTTGATAGGTAATTTTCTTTGTTCCCTTCGTTCTGATTGGTCAATTTTGTGTATCGTCAAATAGAAACGTCGAGAAGTCTCTACCTCGTTTTATTATGGATGTTTGACATCTAGTATATGTTTATAGTCATAGTTAATTAAAAAACAGCGAACAGCAACCGGTAAACTCGTCGTCGAAATTAATCATCAATCTTTTTAACAACCACAAGATATATTTAGGCCACTTGAACGTGAAATTTAGAAACGAAAATGGTAAATATATCAAAACATGTATTATATTTGTATTGTTTCTCCTTTTCTTCTTCTAATGAAATTTGTTAAAACTTTGTAAAGGATTCGATTGATCGAGAGAAAGAGTAGAGAGAGAAAAAGAGACTCGGAGAAGGAGAAAGAGTTCAATCTCTGGCAGATAATTTTTTTTAGCATGCATTCATAGTATATTATTAGAAGTATGGCGTATATTTTACAGAAAATCAATATCGAGTCCTATAATTAACAGATTGATTTGCGGGGCAAATGTCAAGGTGACACTTTCTCGCGGGCAAATGTCAAATCGCGCGACTGCCATTTTCTTTTCATCGCTCGTTTCGCGTGTGAATATATACACATATATACACGATTTTATGTGTGCGTGATCACAAATAAATAATAATAAATAGCAATATAATAAATAATAATAATAGCAATATAATAAATAATAATATATAATAGTAATGCAATATAATAAATAGTGATATATAGAAGTCTGTGTGCGTGACACATGTATATACGTGTATATTGTAGTCAGTGTCCGAGAGCTACGATATACGTGACGCGCATTATAGATCTCCCATACTTGACAGTGAATTTCGGAACGCAGCCTCGATCACGGACACGCTTCCACTTACGCGCGACTACCAGCTGACGTTGCTGATTTATTCATATATATACAGGTGCAACTGAAATAGCCGAGGAACAGTACAGACACAATAGTACACGGGACCACATACATATACCGTGCACCAGGACACGCGAAGGGAATTAAAAAACTTTGCACGACCATCTTTCTCCATAACCTCGACGTCGTCGGAGACGTTTCGTCGACACCGAATGAACTTTGCAGTCGCGCACCGCTAACAATAAATCTGGACCATCGTCAGTTGTAAAAGGTACATACGTGAGTCTCGTGTTATCGACTATGTGTTCAATTATTGCGGAAGCGAATGATAATTTGTACGAGAGTCTCGTTTAATGAGTTTTTCTCGTAAAAACAAGCTCCTGCAAGAAAATCAAAATTGGAGCAATATAGAGTTGGATAAAATAGAAAAAGTGAAGATTGAACGTGAGAGCAATAAGTCTGCAAATCATTTTAAATAGAAATTATTCCAGATAGAATCTCTAATTTTGGTTTTTTGCTCTTTACGTTTTGCATTCCGATCACTCTCGGGCTATTTAAAACTTTCACATTTTAATAGATCAATATGTGCGTGTTTTGATATCGTCTAAATAGTGTTTTGTTTTTATTTGTTTAAAAATTTGTGTATTTGCTTTATTACTTGACAAAGTAATAAATGTTTAAAGGTAAAAAAATAATTGTCTTTATTTTTGTTAGTAAATCTCAATCTTTGTTAGTAAATAGATCTTGTTTATATATATTTACAGATGTCTTTGACATTTCAACAAATTATACTAGATGCCAAAAAGTTGGTCATTCGAATTTCGGACCATGAAAATACAGCGGATACTCTGATAAGCGAGGTAGAGGCTGTATGTGGACAGATTGATAATATGAAGCAGGTAAATATTGTTTTTGTTACATATTTTGTGTAGCTTGTTGTATAACTTGCTCTATGTTATATATTTATAATATGGATTTTTATGTTTACAGTATCAAGAAGAAGTAGATATTTTAAATACGGAAGCTAAGCAAAGGCCACATTTGCAATTAATTGCTGGAATCCAAAGGGAAAACAAACATTTGAGAGAAATACAGGCAGAAAATAAAGAATTGAGAAACGCATTAGAAGACAACCAACATGCACTCGAGCTGATAATGTCCAAATATCGTCAACAGATGGCCTCTTTGTTACGTCTCAACAAAACTGATTTTTCATCGTTGCACAATTCCAAATATGCCAACGTAAGTTTACAAAGAAATTTGTTTATTAGTTTAAAAATAAATTGTAGTACAAAATGCAATGTTTCCTTTATATACATTTTATACAGATAATAACCACTCAAGCAGAAAAAATTAATGAAATGGCAGCTGTAATGCGAACAGCTGCTGCTTTAGATGAAGAAAATGAATTAAAGGAAAAGGAAGCATTTCATTCTTTGAAACAGGAGAATGCCACACTTCGAGAAATAGTCAATATTGCAAATAAATGTGATTCTTTAAACAAAGAATGTTCTGTAGAAAACAAAACTGTTCAAACGGATTTTCCAATAGATTAAAAAAATTCGCTCCTAGATTCTTCCTTACCTTTTTATAAGAAGTTGACAGTATTTATTTCTCACAAAATTTCATGACATATTACTATTAGATAGAATCTTATTTATAGGCAAGAAGTGTATGTGCAAGTTATAGTATGTATATATATATATCAAACATTTGTAATAAATTGTATAAGCCATTTGCAACTATATTTAATTTATCTTACAATTAATTTAAATTTAGGTTATTAGAATTGTGCTATTTTTAATGATACATTTCTTTATATTTCATAAAATGCTTTTTTTTGTTCAGAAAAAAAGAAATATATTACATATATTTTCTTCTTTCATCTTTCTAAATATACAATGTATTGAAATAAGTGTGAAAAATTTTAGATGATTCTTTGTCGGAAATTAAGAGAGGGGGCGAGGGGTTTATTATATAAATATATACTCTTATATCCTTGGAGGAGTTATACTTTTCTAAAGAGAGAGGTAAACATTAAATTTCTATTTTTTCTCAAATTTCAGACAAAAAATGAAATTTTATGAATATTTTCCGTTTTCTTTTTTAATTTGTCTGAAATTTGAGAAAAACCAGTTCAAGTTTTACCTCCCTTTCTAGAAAAGTTTACTCCTTAGGGAAGGATGTAAGAGTACATGTGTATATAAGAAACCTTTCTCAATTTTTACTAAGAATTATCTTCTAAAATTTTCACACTTATTTAGATACACTCTATATATGTCAGTATCGCTCAAATTGTTCTCAAAGAGAAAGTTTGGTATTTGTAGCGGCAAATTTTTTTGTTACATGGTAGCAAATATTGTCCAAAGAACCGTTTCGTATATATTTTTCAAAAAAAGAAAGATGTACAGTTATAAGGGCTGAGAATCGTACAAAAAAAGAATAGCAAGAAAGATGAGGTAAAATTTATTGCAGTTTGATCTGTTAGAAATATAGCTTTAAAATATTTTTTTTTAATTTACATCATTGTGTGCAAAATATAACTGCAACGAACGATTTTGACGACCGCGTTCTGGATAAAAATATATTTCGATCGATGTACATCTATTATTTGTGTTCGTCATAAAGAGTAGATTTCATAAAATGCATAGATAAAAATATGTGTACATCGGTATAAACTCTGTGTTTTGTCTGGACTCTTATTTTGACAACTCTTATCTATATGTGGTAGGTAGTAACTAAAAAGAAAATTACATGGCATTCATATATCATCGCTAATTTTTATGTTTTTTTAATTAGGGAATATTTATTAGTCGAATATTGTGAGTTGCACTTTCTCAATTTTTTACTTTTATTTTTTTCATGATTTTTTTTAGCAAGACGTCGATCTTTCTAGTAACGAAGAATTTTCTGCAATCTTTGCATTTTTTTTCTATACTATTCCTTTTCTTTAAAAAATATGCAAAAAGTAAATAGTAAAAGGCTATAAATATTTTTATAGGAAACACTAACGTGACATTAATTGATTCTAAAGTCTATTGAATTATAAAGGTAGCTTTGTTGTGTTACGTTTTTCCCATGATAGAAAATTTTATGATATGGATTCTTTCGCAATGAATAGAGAGCTCGTCCCTTTTTTTTTTTTGTTAAAAAAGAAATTCTGAATTTAGCACACAAAGTCGGTCAATTATTTGGAGATCCATGAACGAAAATTATATATATGTAGCAATGTAATTTCGAATGCAGAAAATCAATTTTACGATTTTCTAAATTCGTGAAAGTATTTTCTGTTTCGAGAAAATAAACTTTTTATATCAACTATATAATTATTATAAAAAATTTGTGTTTTATATCACTTTTGAAATAAAAATTATAGAGATTGATTACAAAAAGACATGCAGCTACATTTATGTATGTATTTAATAATATAAAAAGATCGAGAGAGAGAACTCGTATAATATTATTTTATTGTTTTATTTTGTTTAATCATTAATTTACGGTATTACATTTATATGTTTACTGTTTTCGACACATTTAATACTGAAAATATTCATATTTTCGCTTTTCGCTGGATAAACATATACACGTTCAATATTTTACTTTATTTTTCAATTTTCTTGATTATAAATAATTGCACACGATGAATTTCTTTCGAAAATACATCTGGGAAATGTGTTTAATGAATATTGAAAGACATACATATATGGGCGCTTCTCTAGTCTATTATTATACCGCGCAATTGTGAGCTAGGAAATTGGGTACAATCGGGGTCATTAACCGATGCATTCGCACTTATAAAGGACAGATTCTTCTCGTCTTTTTTCTTCGGTCAAGACAATTTAATCACCGTGTATTAATTGCGCAAGACATGTTTCTTAAATATTATGAGGAAATTTGATAATTGGATGTTGCGTCTCGTGCACATGCATTGCACATCGCTTCACTAGATTGTACACGTTTTTAGACCGCGTATAACAAACATCATTGCTTGGTAGAGACCTGGGGTCCCCGAATGGTCGGTCGGTTCTCTCGGCAATAGAGTAACATTAAACCGACCCGAATTGCAGTGCCTTTATTTCGAACAGTTTCGGATAGATATAGGATGTATCGTTTTTATTTTCTTAAGCGAATCCTATATGTATAAACGTCCTTAAGAAGTCTGCTGTTTTTTCCTTTTTTTATCGACAAAATATAAGATTAGATACTTAAACTATAAATCTATTTATTGGCTATGCGGATTGTTTTTTACCTGAAATTAGAAATGCTTCCTTCTTTGTTAATATTATTTAATTTGTACAGGAAAAAAGATTTATCAATCTGTATAGTCTCATATCTTGGTTACAGAATTATGAATTTTTAAGATTACATAAGAATTAGAGAAATAGGCGAGAATCCGAACATTCCGATTCCTTTCAAACTAGTTTTCTCGCCTATTTCTTTACAGGAATTTTCTGATCCCAACCATAGGATACAAACTCCTTAGTTTGCAAATTTTCTTTCTTAATCCGAAAGTAAAAGGGAATTTCCGATCCCTTTCAATTTCGTTCCAATTTCAGGTAAAAAACAATCCGTATAGTCAATAAGATTTAGAGTTTATCTAATCTCATATTTTGTCGATAAAAAAGGGAAAAAACAGATTTCTCAAAGATTTTTAGGGTCACCTTAATTACATTTTTCGATAAAAAATGATATTTTTCTCGAACACGAGACTAGTCGTTTCTTATAACTCTTATTTGGATGCTGAACACGAATCCGAAAAAAATGTCTAAATTGCTCCAACACGTCACAATTTTGAGAAATTTTTAATTAAAGCTGTAAAAAGCCAAAAAGCTGCATTTTTAATTAAAGCTATTTTCACGAACTTTGTTATATTATAACTACAATTATTATGTGACGTACTGGAGAAGTTTTTTTACAATCAAAATAAAGAATATTGTTAGGACTTTTTAGACATTAAAAATTCCTTTTGAGGGTTGAACGCTATAATATTATAAAGTTCCTGAAAAAAGCCCTTTTTGCAACTTTAATTAAATATTTCTCAAAATTGTGACGTGATGGAATAATTTGGAAACTAGATTCAGCATCCAAAAATTATAAGAAACGACTAGCCACTTTCTGGTAATTTTTTTTGTTGAACAGTGTCATTAATATAATAAAGACGAAGAAAATGTTATGTGCAAAATTATGCGTCGATTCTCTGCAGGTCGGACATAAATAAGAAGAATAGTCTCTACCCTAACGGGAATCTCTAACTGTTCCTCTATTATTTCTTTCTAATTGAATGCGTTCAAGTGGTCATAAACTGTCGACTGAAAGTTTCATTCTCTTTTTGCAGAACAGGCATAACAATAAATATATAATAGGATTCGCGGCATTTGCACGAAATATGTCGAGTAACATATTTGACTCGGTGACTCTCTTAAACCTTGTTATGGACGACTTATTTTAAGATCCTGTGTTTACCGATATAATGTAGGTATCAATTTAATTTTGGGTGAAATTTATTAGGTTTTACAATATTTTTTTCAAAAAATCTTCAAAAGGCATTTAGCTCAAGGTTTATTCCGACCTTTTTTGTACATGTTTCGCAATTGCGGGGTCTTTGAAATAATTAATGGTCGAAAAAAATTATGTGAGTAAAAAAACATCTCGAAAAAGAAAACATATGAACTATTTATGTGTGAATATTCTGAAGAACGGAGAAAAAATACATTCCCGTATCGACAATTCGTCAATAATAAATATTTTGCGAAATGCAAATAGAGGAATAAAAAAGCAATAAAAACGCGGTTTTTTGCTTATGCACATTTTTTTCTAGTCCCATGGAACATGGGACGTCTTATATATAACAGACCATAACAGACGTGAGCATTCACAACTGTTCACTTACACGCTACACGTACATACACGGGGAACTTACACACTTTAAGAGTTCACAAACTCACCACGCATCTAGATTCTCTTTCTAGGACTCCTTTTTCGACGACCCTATATATACAAACCAAGGTCAACCTTTTTTCTCATCTCTCTCTTCACTTTCTTTCTCTCTCCAGTTTCCCTCGGCTTTTTTTTCGGCTTATATTTTCCCTTGGATACGATAGAAGGGTTTTTAAATAGCGATGTGCCCTTGGAATTCTGACGACGAACTATAGCATTTTCCTGCACAATCTAACAACGCGGCACCTGTTACAATCGTTGCTCTTTGTCGTTCCGATCGACGATCATCGATTTTCTGCATTCTTTTTCTTTTTCTGTGGATTTTGTCCCCGTGATATTTTTTCTCCCCTTTTTCTCTTGTTTTTTGTTTTTTTTCTATCTTAAGAGGCTCCAAAGGTGAATGACCACGAATATTGGCTATACAGATTAAAAAATCCTTTTAGCTTCCCATTGTTAATACTTTAATACGAAAGGATTTATCAATCTGTATAGTCAATCGAAAGATTGCTACTTCAACTCCTAAATTTTCGAAAATTTATGAGTTTCCCTTAGGATCCCCTTAAGTTAAGTTATAATCTTCTCAGAATCGAGAACTTTATATTTTAACAATAAAAGTTGGGCTTTTATTATGAAATTTTTATCATATTTTTGGATAGCTTTTTATTTGACAGTCGCACATAAGTGGACAGAAAACTTTTATTATTCAGAATAATTTTATGCAAAAATGCCTGATATATTGATTCATTAAATGCACATGTCACTTTTACTTTCGCGATACACAAATTTTTTTAAAAAATTTC